AAATGAATAAAACTGGCAGACTGGGAGGGCAAACAAAACCTCAAGTAAGGTTTTCAGCGTAGATCAGTATAGTACACATATTTTTTTATTAGTGACAACAAATAAACGATAAACTGACAGTTCTACAAGCTGACAAGGGCAATTCTTCTGCTAGTTTTGCAAAATTAGATTTTCATGCAATTATGCTCGAATCAAGGTCGCACTATCATCTGAAAGGGGACAGAATTTTTGAATTGTATTAGGCTTGTATTAGTAGTATCTGCCGCTGACATGAGTAAACTACAACTCGCAGGCCTAATTCGACCCATTGGGCAACTTAATCTGGCCCGCCCTTCATTGCCACAACCAAACTAAATCTAATTTTGATGTTTTAGCCAGAAATAGCTCAAGAAATTTGTTGATATTGCGATTAAATTTAGTTTTGGCACGAAGCTTACTGTTTTCCACTTTTGCTTTGTAACACTGTAAATATTGTTTATAAAAAGTAACTTTTACATCACACTCACATGGCCCGCCACTCAAAATGAGCAAAATTTTTGGCCACAGTTTCAAAAACCCCACCCACCTTTGATCTACTGTATATACATCAGTTTTTTTCGCGACCCTGGCGTAAGATGTGAAATGACAACAATGTCTTTCCCTTCTTATTTTCTCCTTTACTTAGAATAAATATGACAATTATTCTCATATGAAATTCTTTTTAGAGTAGATATAGGTAGAAATAATATAATTTTCAGAAAATTACACCTTTTGATGCTGTGATCGCATTCCATCATGGATTCGTAAGTATAGATTGACTTTTATTGCTTATTACAATATTTGGTACTCCCCGAAGTATGTGAACCAAGATGGCGGACACCGGAACGTAGTATGTGTACAAGGTTAGGCCATAATTTAAGGTACAAATACCACGGGAGTCACTTGGCTAGTCCCCGGACTCGTAATAGAACTAAAATAAGGAGAATGGGAATAAAATTATGGCCTAACGTTAGCCTGGTACACATACTACGTTCTGGTGTCTGCCATCTTGGTTCACATACTTTGGGAGTACCCAATATATTTATAAACCATTTCTAGTAATAGATTATGTATATGTATTCCAGCAACATTGCAATTACCATAATTGTCTGAACTGATTTTTTCTCTGTCTTCTCATCGCTGTTTATGTCTCATCTAGAATTTCATGTTGTTCAAATGTTGAGGGCAGAATATGGAATCTTGTGGTCAAAATGGGATTAATTTAACCTTAACTTTTAAACTTAAATCTGAACAATAAATAATAACAATAAACCCATTTTATATTTTCATTACGTACAATAATCTGTACAGGCTGCCACAGAAATACAAAAAAAGTACTATTTTTGAGTATTTCATTTTAGAGTTAATTTTTATTATTTTAATAATTTTTACACCTTCCAAATAATGGAAGTTGTTGAACGCTCAATGTTATAAGGTTTTTCCCACCATTTAGTTTTAAGAATTATTTTTAAAATTTAATTTGTTTGGCCGGAGGATCAACTTAGTGATTTTCAAGTCAATTTTTAGATAGTGTATAGTTAACTACAAACCATTATCTGTTTTGTTTGTTAATATAGCCCAGGGGTTCACGAACCCCCAGGGGTTCACGAAAAGATTTCTAGGGGTACTTGGACGGCAGTCGAGTTTTTGTGTGTTGCTGTTTTTTAATATCTTTTATTACTACCAGAGGAAAATGCGTGTTGATTGAAACTAGATGCCAATTGAAACGTAGTTTTCCCTGATGTTGCGTTTTGTGATTATGACGCAACAATGTGAAATTCACGGCTTTGCAGGCAAACTGTGAAATCTCAAAAGTGCTGCGAGAATTGGAGAAAGTGATTATGCTAATTAAAACTTTGGAGAGATTTTAAGAATTCATTAGTTAGGCCAGGGGTCTCCAACTCAAATATGTCGCGGGCCACTTTTTGAAATTTTTTGACAACGCGTGCCGCAAACTAACAAATTATATACAAAATTGTTATAAGAAATTAACAAAGTAAATCTGAATATATTTGTTGAAATTACCCTTGAATCTTACACCAAGCGAGACATGAAACATATTCGTTTACATGTGTTGGTTATTTGGCAGCGTTTTGTAGCGGTGAGAGACTCGATGTTTGTCCTTATTTTGCGTTGGTTTGCTGGTCTTTAGACAGCATACAAACTCTTGTCCGTTGGTCGTGTCAGAAAGGCTGATTCGTTAACTCTCATTGTTAAAAATCCATTTCCCAAGCCTTCAACATACACTCTTTAATAAAGCTTCCCTCAACGAAAGGACGCGACGATTTCGCAATCATCTCTCTTATGGCAAAGCTTGCTTTCATTGAATCTTCACAAGTTTTGTTTATGTCTGAGAAAAATTTCTCTGTTTCATCAGTGAAAATATTATTTGCGATACCTTTTCGTGACGAATTGTTTCAGTATAAACATGGTATTTACCCCTGTGTAATGATCCATACGTTTATAAAAATCTAGTTTTGCGTTAACTGCACATATGATTCATAATCAACTAATGATTCACAAATGTACACTTCCAAGATCTGACCGAAACTTGTTTATATAATACCAGATAATAATAAAAACGCGAAATGAAATGATTGAATTTACAATTTAATTATTACTGTAGCATAAAATATCAATGTGGTAAAGTGGAATAACGGGGGGAATTTTTGTTTCACTTTAATAGTTTGTTGTACCAGACCCTTGATGTTAAATAACACAATAAAACTCATAGTTGACATCATACTATTTTAGTTTTTTTCTGGAAAAATTTCAACCACGACACGGGCCGCAAAAATGCTTTGCGGGCCCCTTTGCGGCCCGCGGGCCACGTGTTGAAGACCCCTGAATTAGGCGGAAGACAAGGGCAATAATATCATCACGAAAATTTAATTTAGTTACACCTGGTCAATAAATTGTTGTTTCAACAAATCGTTATTCAATATATCACAACTTTGCTCCGCGTCTGATTACCGGGGGTTTGCATTGATTGTTTCGTGACTCGGGTGGTATTTGGCAGAAAAAAGGTTGAGAACCCCTTATATTGATAAATGATATATCTCATCAGTAAACTGTTGAAACTTCAATTTTCCCACTTCAGGTGGTGACATTTTTCATGTGGCATTCATACACTTTCATTCTGTACAATAAACTGTACAAGCAGTCACTGAAACAAAAAAAAGTATTATATTTTAGTATTTCATACTGAGTTGTTTTTAATATTTTAAAACTTATTACATATTTTATCCTTGCAGATCACTTAAAAAGCTAATAAGGAAAATGCTTGAACGCAAAAGGTTATAAGATTTTTCCAGTTTTGCTTATGAATTGGGTTTGGGCATTGGATCAACATATGGATTTTGTTTCAATTTTTCAGATGGTGTATAGTAAACTACAATACATTATTGGGCTCCTTGATTGATATTGATCTCCCTGCGCTAGACACATTGCTTACTTCCCGTTGTGACACTTATTAGGCGTTTTCACACCTTATACAAGGCTCTGTATAAGAATCCAATTAAACATAAGAAGTTTTTATTTTTTAATATGTTTATCATAACTGTGTTTGGGCCATGTTCAATTGATAGAGAAACATAAATTTCTGGTAACTATATTTTAGTAAGCATATTTACTTCAGAACAGTTCTCTTTATTGCTATGTATGATTTCAGATTTTGCATCCTTTTATGATGTTGTTGTTTCATACAAGGCAAGCTTCAAACAACAAAAATAAACTCTATCATTAAATTAGTGAAATTTTCTACTCTTTGTGGTTACACTTATTTTTGAGGCATTTTCACACCCTGTACAAGCAGCTACTCAAACATAAATTGACTATTACTCGACTGTTAAATTGCTATTTTTAAAAAAAATATGTAATAAATATGATTTGTCAATCCATACCGAATTTATTGCTTTCTGTAGGGAATGGGCATTATACACAAACTTGAAGTTCATGCGTAATCTAACCTGAATTATTATAAAAAAAAATCATTTTGTAAAAGTATTTAAAAAATTTATGTGTCCTGTTTTCTTGGTCACCCTGTGCATGTTATACATATTACTAATCTATGAACTATTTATCTTTTTTCCACTGAAAAATGTTCTTACAGAAGGAAATATGAAGATTGGGATATTTCTTCTGTAAGTTATTATTTTATGTTGCTCATAACTTGCATAGTAGGCTATAGTATTTTTTGTGGATGTTTAGGTATCACTGTCATTTTTAATTTATTTCTGAACTAGGAATCTAGGTTTTATTGGGATTTCAAGATTTTATATTTTATTTACATATCACTGATTTTACAACAGGGCCTGAGTTATTAAGTTTTTCCCTATTTCACGCCTTTTGCTCAGAACAAGAACCTGTACAAGCAGCTATTGGTATGCAATGAGCTATTTAGGATAGGATGGGATTTACTCATTTATCCCAGGGAGAGGAAAGCTGATATGACCGCTCAACCATATGGCGAACCACGGCCTTTTGTCCGGTTACCATTCCATATCGGGTATGGGATTAGTTAGTTAATTGTTTTCGGAAGCACAGACTTGAGGATGGTGGTGGAGTCCAGCAATCCTTCCTCACTTTATTGGAAGGAATTTCATTCCGGCCATAAGTATGAGGCTTGGGATGTGTTATCACTGTACCAAAGTAAACTGGTAACTTCCTTGAGTTATGGATTATCTTAAGCCGGTTTATCAATCAAAGCTAAATATTTGAGAATGACATTTTGTCTTGAAAAAAATATTTTAATAGGTTTTCTGAGAGCACTAGTGTTTACTTGAAAGTTTATATATTTCAATTGCCTGACATTTTAAGATTTTTTGACATTTAATTAACTAATCAACTGGCAATTAATTGGTGCATGCCAGTATAAAGATTACAAACATGCCTTTGCAGGGGGGAGTATTTCCAGCTAGCCATTTTGACATATCCTATGCTTGTCCATCTATGTCAAGCCTACGTTCGCGAAAAAATTCTTATAAAAAGACGACTATCAATGAATCGCCGTTAAAATTATCGCAAGCTGGTTTTTATCGACCGGTGGATTCTGAAGTCAGGAAAAGAGGAGGTTGTATTGTTTGTATAAAATAGACATAGTGAATCTTTTTTAAAATCTCTACCTTGAAAATATCTAAGACAAGTCAAATACTCAGATGAATTTGAAATAAATTATGTATTCAGTATTGCAAATTCATTATGCCAGGAATGATTTATAAAATTCAATACCACATCAGACATTTGACTACAAAACACAGGCAGACTTAAGGATACTCCCGAAGTATGTAAACCAAGATGGCGGACACCGGAACGTAGTATGTGTACCAGGTTAGGGTCAGGCCATAATTTCAGGTGCAAATACTATGGGAGTCACTTCGCTAGTCTCCGAACTCGTAATAGAACTAAAATTGGAATAAAATTATGGCCTAACCTTAACCTCGTACAAGGAGTAAATATTTGTGTATGTGTGAAAATCTTTACTATTTCTATTAAATTATTTACACAGGAGGGAAGGACTATGTTGAATGCTTCTGTTGCGGAGGAGGCTTGCAGTATTGGAATTCTCGTTATGACCCGTGGATTGAACATGCAAAGTATTTTCCCACTTGCAAATTTTTGCTGAGAGAGAAAGGACATAAGTTTGTTATGAAGATTTTATGTCAATATCCTACATTTTCGGGTCCTCTTGGTCTGCAATCACATTTTATGGTAAGCTGTACTAGATTTTTTTGAAGTTCTCATTTTGAGGGTGTTATGGTCGAATTAACCAGGGCTGGGGAACTTGGAGCCGTGATGCTGTGACATTTTGTTGAAGCTGTAATCAAGCTTACCATAATAAATAATAAATAGAGCATGGCTACCAAAAATTTTAGTGTCTTTTGACCATCTATTATTTTTTCCTGTGTATTTATTTTTTAAAAATGCTTACTCATGTCTTTCACTCTGAAGAAGGTATTTTACAAGTTCACACTGATATCTCACAATATGTTAGGGGCGCTCCAGAAGTGTGTGTATCAGGAGTATGTGTATCAGGTTAGGGTTAGACCATAATTTCAGGTATAAATATTACAGGAGTCACTTGGCTAGTCCCCGAACTCGTAATAGAACTAAAATAAGGAAAATTGGAATAAAATTATGGCCCAACTCTAACCTGGTACACATACTACCTTCCTGTGTCATCTTGGTTCGCATATTGCAAGAGTACCTATTATTGCGAAACTGCGTTCAGGCTGATGTTTCATGGTGGTGGTCAGTGTTAACTCTAAGCGAATTATGAGTGCGAAAGTGCTTCGCAGTCGAAAAAAAAAGTGCGAAAGTGCTTTTGCCGATTTTAACAAGTTAAGTGCCCTAGACTTTCATATAACCCATTTAAAACGGCATAGATACTCGAAAAAGCACACCTCCGGTTAATAATATGAATTAAAGAGAAGCCTTTCCGTTAACTGAGTTCCCTTTAATAGAATTCATGTTTAATTAAAACAAGCGAATTCATCGGCAACGAAAGGACATCTGCTAACACCTGCTGCGGACAAAACTTTCATGCAATGTATCACCATGTCAGTTGCTTACTCGCGTGAACAGCAAAGGCTTTCACATTTGTGTTACTCCTTCCATCTAACAGACAACGATTGATACATGCAGGCTGGAAACCATATTAGTTACAGGGTGGATCATTTGTACAAATCCTGTGCAAAATAAATCCGCGATATTCAATCGTTCATATGCACTAATCTCACATTAATAGTAATTGCTACCCAAGTTTGTAAAGTTTAGAAACCAACAAACAGAAAATAACTTATCCTAAAACACAATTAAAATACAGTTGGCAATAAATTGCGCCAAGACGATGCCATACAGAACAAAAAGATTTGGTCACGAGAGTTACATTAGATGACTGCAAAACGACGTTGCTTTTTAAGCAGAATGTAAAACAATCAAAATAAAAAAAAGGGAGTTACGACGCCCTTAACACATCGTGTGTATTAAACTTCCCTGGTAAGTACTTTGGTAGGTACTATACACCTGTTGGAGTATTTCGGACAATTTCGAATTTAAAATAAATGAAAACCCGACATATAATAAAGACGCAAAAGTAAAATGAACATTTATTGAAAAAGTTATTATTTAAGAAAGACAACATGATCGTACAATTCCGCCAAAACCTCGATGTTCGCAAGTGAGATGATAAATAAATACTTCTCTGTATTCGATCAATTAACTTCAGCGTATCGTTGTTCTGCCAACAAACAGCCGGGTGCAAAATATTTCCGTCCTGTGATATGCTCACAATATTCTCGATATTAATATCATACCCTTGCGTATGTACTTTCTATTAGCTCTTTAGTGATCCCTTCCATCCTTGGCCAAGTCATGTTTCAAATATGTGAACATTTTTATCGACCATACATGGCCGGCGGGATGTTAAAATTGTAAACAAGAGAGAGGTAAAATCAATCGCGAGTTTCGTTATAACGGCTCGTTTACGAATTGTTGCGCCCGTTATCGTCGAAAATGATTACATTTGTTGTATTTTGAGGCATTTAAGCAGTAATAATCAGAGCATGACATCATCAAAATCGTCAAGTGAGATCTTGAAATTGCAAATTCCGTAAATAAAATAGTGAATTACCCTGTAACGAATTCAGCTATAATAACTGTCGTGGTATTGTTTTGTTGAAAATTATTATTAATGTGAGAGCGCCAAAAACATACAGTCCATACCGATGCAACTGCAATTTATATGGCCGTACTTGGTGTGGCGCGTTTATTAATAGTGTAAAATAAATTAAACGAATATCAATTATAACCAAGCATGTCAGCGTGTTTATTTTCTGTGGGCAAGAATCGTAAAATACCATCTTGAGACAAATTCACTTCTATTGCAAAATCTTAATAAAATAAAATATGATTTAAATTAATCGCAAAAATCGCGACTTTGAATTCATCGATATCATTGATAGTCACATGACCACTCTCGTTCGAAGAAACGCACAGCGTAGTATTCCAACATCTGGTTTCAAAGACGCCGGGAGCGTTTTTGCGGGAGAAGCGGAAACCGTGTGCTTGTATAATAATCATATTATAAACAAGAATTTTGCCGTTAATGCAAAAGCTTTATCTCCTATGTCTGCATCTCATAGATTAGAATTCCGGTAAATATCGTTATGATATGCAGAATTGAGTTACAAAAGTACTAGTATGTTACTTATTTGTCAACTTAATACTCACACAAAAATATTTGTCAACTTTGAATTTTTATTCCATTCAAAATCGGAAAAAAGTGCTATTTCTCTTCAAAATCGGAAAAAGGTGCTATTTCGCAGTCCCTGAAAAAAAAAGCGAAAGTGCTTCCCAATTTTCGCAAAAAAGTGCGCTAGTAGTGAACACTGGTGGTGGGTCATACCAAAAAATCGTTATGGTTATGGAGCCAGAGCTAAAGTTGAAATAATAAAGCTTTGCAGTTGAAGCTACTGTTTTAATTCATAATTGATTTCATATTTAAAATATTAATCTGATTGAATATATTATTTTTCAGATTTCTGATATTTCTTCGTCGAGTTTCCCAAATCAATGTGTTCCCAAATCAATGAGTTCTTCAAGTATGTCGTTAAATAACAAACCGTTATTATTGATTCATTTGTTTACGAGACTTCAAGCTCAATTGTTATGTAAACGCTCACCTGTTGATGCAAAGTTTATGGCACACCCTTGAAATCACACTCCTTATTACGCTGCTTATTTTTTAATCCCTTAGGGCAGTGATTCTCAACCTTTTATGTCTCATGGACCCCTTCCGGAGATTTCTAGCACTCATACCTCATACTCATAGCACTCATACTCAAAGTTGTGTAAAGGAACTGGAACATAAGAGCAAGGGGGTATTTTCACTTGGCTAACACAAACAGTCCCCGACTTCGTAATGCTACTAAGATAAGCAAAATAGGAATTAAATTAGGGCCTAACCCTAACCTAGTAAACATACTACAGGAGTACCCAAATTATACCGGTATCAAATGCATATTTATTATGGCGGTTATCGGACTCAAGTTCGAATCTTGACTTCAAGTACAAATTTCTGTTCCTTTTGTTGCTAACTAACTAATAACCTATTAACAGGTACTCTTATTGACCGTGGAAAGGCCTGTGAAATGAACCAGTCTGAACCAAACTTCATGCGAAATGGAGATTTTGAAGAAGAAAATAAATTGAGTTTTGCTGGGGGAGGGAAAAGGATGAAATCTGATGATCAGATGAGAGGAGGTGGTTATTACCAATTCGTAACGTCTTAAAAATATTTGAATTTTTCGAGGCTAAGTGTATAAATGCTTGCCATTCTGTCGTCCTGGTTATATATCTGTTGAAATGGCGGTTACATGATCAAAAACTAATACATCTATTACAAATTCTACTGGTTGTTAAATAATTCCATACCCTACATGGACTGGTAATTGGCCGTCAGATCGATGTTTGCAATATGAATCGGTGCTCCCGAAGTATGCGAACCAAGATGGCGGACATCGGAACGTAACATGGGTAACAGGTTAGGGTTAGGCGATAATTTTGTTCCAATTTTCCTTATTTTAGTCCTATTATCAGTTCGAAGACTAGCCAAGAGCCTCCCGTAGTATTTATACTTAAAATTATGGCCTAACCCTAACCTAGTACACATATTACATTCCGATGTCTGCCATCTTGGTTCGCATACTTCGGGAGCCCCTATGAATCCTTATAAATCGGGTTTCCTCTCCCTTGAATTGAATGCAGTTGTCATGTTATTTCTTTTAGTGAAGCAAGCAAGACCGGAAATACCAAATCGCTTCAATTTATTTATGCTCCTGTGTTGGTCTATGTCGCTAAAATGCCATTTTTTACTTCATCGTGTATGTACAATGGGTATCTTCAGTATGGGGAAAAAGGAACTGCTAATTACTGATCATTAGATTAAACCAGTGTGGATTGAACTACGACCTATGGCCATTTACGGCCCGCGTAACGATTAAATATGGTCCATCGAGCCATATTATGAAATTATTAACACTAAGTATTTTTTTTCTTTTTGTGTTTTAGGTGTCGCCAATTGTTACATCATTTTCACAGTTTTAGCACGTGTATATTTATAGCAATTCAGTTTGGTGTCTTAACAATTCGGTATCTTAAACATACGTCCTGGTCCTCTTTGCAAGCGCTCCCGTCTTTTTACCCGCGAATATTCTTCAACTTCTAATTTTGGTCAACAGTCAATCAACTTTGGGAACCACTGGATTAAACTAGTTTTGTTTGTTCTCCTGATTTCATAATCAGTGCTTACCTATTTGTTTTCATCCATCATTTTATTGTTATGCTGATTATGGAGTTGAAGTAAACATTTTACTTATACTTATATTTCTTATTCTCACAGGTGGGAATGAAAATGTACAAACGGCAAAAAGAGGGTGTGGAGGGTGGAGTAGTAATTGCATTGGTCAATCTACTACCGAGGGGAATTCGCCGTTTCTGCAAGAAGGACAAAGGTATTATGAATTTTTATAGCAGTGTTTTCATATGTTTGCATGTGTAATATTGGTGAACAGGCAAATGCATTTTTATGTGTTTTGAATATGCTTATGTTTGCAAAAATATTTTACCAATAACAAACAATCATTTCTACACCTATCACAACTTTTATTTCACCAGAAATCAATTCGAAGTTGCACTAATGATGGGAAAGCTGCACCGTTTGCACTGGAGTATTTAAAATAGGGGTTCAATCCAAGAGGATTCCTAGGCGCCCCAACTATGGGAAAAACTCTGACATAGAGCATGATCTAATAATTGAATTTAAATGCACTTATTATTTTGTGGAACTGCTGCATTTTAAAATTGTCTTTCAGGGGGTGTAGACCAGAAAATCAAACAACAACCCGGAACAGAATCACTCGGATAAATGATTCTTTTACCGACGACAGCTTCTTGTCACGTAAGAACTGATTGTGTAGGTCAGAAATGGCAATCTGCTGACTCATCATAATTTTGGATTTGCAAAAACGTTTCGATGATAAAACTATTGTATATGAGGCCTGATTTAATTCATTCTATCATAAGGGGGAGCCACTATGGTAGTTCATTTTTTTGGAATTCACATTATTGTGCTGTCCAAGTCTTGCGAAGAGTTTATCATATTTTTCAATTTGCAAAAAAACGTTTCAATGATAAAAAAAAATGGATAAAAATACGGATTTAATTCATTCCAACAAAGGAACTACTACAGTAGAATGATTTTGGAAAAATCAATTCTTAGTAGTAATGCAACCTGGGAACATAATAATAATAATATACTTCTTTTTATTCTTTCTTATTCTATTTTATTCTTCTCTCCCCATATAAATTTAATTTGAATACACATTACTTTATCACTGTATCGTAGGTTCATACAACATCCAGAGCAATAGAAGACAGACATTTACGAGTTATCCAACGGATTGTCCCATTTTGCCTGATGATTTAGCGAAAGCTGGATTTGTTTACACTGGTTCCCACGATCAAGTTAAATGTTATTACTGCCGAAGAATTGTTGAATATTGGGGACCGAATGAGGATCCTTCGAAGGAGAAATGGCACAGGTATGATGTTTTTACAGTGAGTTCCAGTGTACACTAAAATGAGACGAGGCACCTATGCATTCATAATTTTTTTAGAGTGAACACTGCTGAACACATAGATATAATGCCGACGTAATTTTTCACAGACTGAGAGGGGTAGTGGTCTTGAACCCCTATAAAGTTCACGGTACTCCCGAAGTATGTGAACCAGAATGGCAGACACCGGAACGTAGTATGTGTAACAGGTTAGGGTTGGACCATAATTTCAGGTACAAATACTATGGGAGTCACTTGGCTAGTCTCTGAACTCATAATAGAACTAAAATAGGAAAAATTTGAATAAAATTATGGCCTAACCCTAACCTGGTACACAAACTACGTTCCGGTGTCCGCCATCTTGGTTCACATACTTCGGGAGTACCTAACATACATAGATAGTGTCACATTATTTAACCTAAATATTATTAATTCCAATCAGTTTTCTGATGGAGTGAGTCTGAGTAATTCCGTAATAGACGATTATTAACGTCCTTGGCTCTAAATAATTTGTAATAATTGCCAAACAATTTATGAGGAGCTCTTCACAGTGTGCCTTGTTGACAGTGAAAACCATGATTGAGCAGCGGGTAGGAAAGAATACTCTGAACAATGCCTCACATAAACAGTCACTGATAAATAAAGGACGACCAGAGTCTTACTAATCTGGCCCAAGTGGGCCACAGAGCAGTCGGTGTGGGGCACAAAACTAGGTGCAAGATTTTGATTTTTGCATAAATTGATATGATCTTGCCCTCCGTATTTTGGATATTTACTTTCCAGTCACGCGTTTTACATTTCCTCATTTTGGATATTTACTTTTCAGTCACGCGTTTTACATTTCCTCATTTTGGATATTTACTTTTCAGTCACGCGTAGGGCTGTCTAAGCGAACCAAATATTCGAAATCGAATCGCAAATTATTCGAATAGTTTTTTCGGCTAATTTTCGAATCGCTAAAATAGGTACATAAAGCGGAAACCATCTTTGCAGGACGTTTCTCATTGGGCAAGCGGCGGCGCTTCGAGCTCAGACTACTCTCTTTCTACAGGCTTTACATGTCCTGTTGAAACGGAATCAATTAGAATTGAGATTGCAATTTTTGAATTGTGCAATTCTTACTCATAACACTCAACAGTTTTCGAAACCCAAATTTTGAAGTTCTCCAATTTTTTTGACCAGTTCATACAAGCGAGTGATCTTCTTTCATAAAACTGAAAGTAAGTCAGATGTAACTGCACATACGTTACCACAACATCGAAGGGCAGGCATTTATTGTATAATATAGACAGATTTAGGATTGCGCAATAATATTCGGTTCGATTTGGCGAAAATATTCGATTCGATTCGAATCAAAAAATTATTCGATTTTGGACAGCCCTAGTCACGCGTTTTCAACATGTTTTCTGAATTAAACATACTTTCGCCTTATGTGTTATCTGTAGTTTATTGTTAGCTAGTTATTTTTAAAGGGGAAAGGGGCAAAACAAATTCTAAAAATTGTCTTCTGTAGTTATATATTTATATAATTAACTCTCATCAATTTCTTCAGGCCTGGGTGCAAACGTCCAATTCACGAAAACAATGGTTCTGATGACCCTGATAATTTCCATGATGGAAAAAACATTAAGAAAGACGCTGATGCAACTCAAGGTAGGAATTTCATATTCTGTCATCGAGGATGTCCGAAATGAATCGGACGTTCGAACTTCGACAATCTGCAGACTTTAATTTAGATATATTTGAGAATAATTAAGTATGAAAAATTATCGCCTTAATTTTTGAATTGAATTGTAAAATATCAATGCCAATCAAATCAGTGTTTTGATTTGACTTTCCTCAATTTCCAAATTCAAACTCGTTTTATAGGGTGTCCATGAAGTTTTGAACTTTTTTCAAATCGTAAAGGGAATTTATCGATATCGTATATTGGGTACTTCTGAAGTATGCGCACCAAGATGTCGCATAACCTGAATCCTAACCTGGTACACAACCTGAGTTCAGGTTGTGCGCCATCTTGGTGCGCATACTTCAGGAGGTCTGCATATTGTTTTGGTCCTCACAGATGTATTGAATGAAGTAAAAATACTTAAACAATTACTGATTAAAAAACATCAAACCTGGTTAGGATATATTGAGTACTGACTTTGTAACAAAATTGGAATTGTAAGGGGACTTCATGGACACCCTGTATATGTACTGACTTTCATGTGTTCTTTGATGAACATGAACAAATCGGAATAAATTCAATAGATGATGACAATGCATATTTTAGAATGTACTCTGAATACAATATCATTATTAACCTAAATTAGGTTTTTTTCAAAAAAAATATTTTGGAATGCATTCAGTTTTGGTAATCTTTAACTAATATTCAAATGACCCTAACGTATATCTCTCCTATTACTATCTGTACCCACTCACAGTAAAATGTCTATTTATATAAGATAGGATTAACATATTTATCCCAGGGGAGTGAAAAGACTATGAGACAGCCTACTCATATGGCAAACCACGACCAGCGGTTGTTTCATGGACGGCCAATCATTGTCCAGCAATCCTCACACACATACCTATTCCCGCATGGAATTCGAAACTAAGAATCCAATAATCAGAGGTGCAGGGGCGAGCGTATTCCAAGCTTAGCGCGATGCGCCACATCACCGATCTTTTTTTAAAAACAAATCTCCGCCCAAGCAGCCACTGCTAGTAGATGATATATTCATTTGTATATACATCACCGCTACAAAACACCATGGTTCTTTGTTTGTTCTACTTTATGCAAATAATATTTCATTTGTTTCATAAGGAAAGGGGGTATATTCACTTGGCTAACACAAACAGTCCCCGAACGCGTAATGCTACTAAAATAAGGAAAATAGGAATAAAATTATGGCCTAACCCTAACCTAGTACACATACTACAGGAGTACCCAAATTATACCGGTATCAAATGCATATTTATTATGGCGGTTATCGGACTCAAGTTCGAATCTTGACTTCAAGTACAAATTTCTGTTCCTTTTGTTGCTAACTAACTAATAACCTATTAGCAGGTACTCTTATTGACCGTGGAAAGGCCTGTGAAATGAACCAGTCTGAACCAAACTTCATGCGAAATGGAGATTTTGAAGAAGAAAATAAATTGAGTTTTGCTGGGGGAGGGGAATGGATGAAATCTGGTGATCAGATAGGAGGAGGTAGTTATTACCAATTCGTAACGTCTTGAAAATATATCAATCATTTTATTGTTATGCTGATTATGGAGTTGAAGTAAACATTTTACTTATACTTTTATTACTTATTCTCACAGGTGGGAATGAAAATGGACAAACGACAAAAAGAGGGTGTGGAGGGTGGAGTAGTAATTGCATTGGTCAATCTACTACCGAGTGGAATTCGCCGTTTCTGCAAGAAGGACAAAGGTATTATGAATTTTTATAGCAGTGTTTTCATATGTTTGCATGTGTAATATTGGTTCACAGGCAAATGCATTTTTATGTGTTTTGAATATGCTTATCGTATGTTTGCAGAAATATTTTATCAATAACAAACAATCATTTATACACCTATCACAACTTGTATTTCACCAGAAATTAATTCGGAGTTGCACTAATGATAATAATTGAATTTGAATGCACTTATTATTTTGTGGAACTGCTGCATTTTAAAATTGTCTTTCAGGGGGTGTAGACCAGAAAATCAAACAACAACCCGGAACAGAATCACTCGGATAAATGATTCTTTTACCGACGACAGCTTCTTGTCTGGTAAGAACTGATTGTGTAGGTTAGGGATGGCAATCTGCTGACTCATCATAATTTTGGATTTGCAAAAACGTTTCGATGATAAAACAATTGTGTATGAGGCGTGATTTAATTCATTCTAACATAAGGGAACCACTATGGTAGTTCATTTTTTTGGAATTTACATTATTGGGCTGTCCAAGTCTTGCAGAGAGTTTATCATATTTTTCAATTTGCAAAAAAAACGTTCTAATGATAAAAAAAAAATGGATAAAAATACGGATTTAATTCATTCCAACAAAGGAACTACTACAGTAGAAAGTTTTTGGAAAAATCAATTCTTAGTAGTAATGCAACCTGGGAACATAATAATAATAATATACTTCTTTTTATTCTTTCTTATTCTATTTTATTCTTCTCTCCCCGTATAAATTTTATTTAAATACACATTACTTTATCACTGTATCGTAGGTTCATACAACATCCAGAGCAATAGAAGACAGACATTTACGAGTTATCCAACGGATTGTCCCATTTTGCCTGATGATTTAGCGAAAGCTGGCTTTGTTTACACTGGTTCCCACGATCAAGTTAAATGTTATTACTGCCGAAGAATTGTTGAATATTGGGGACCGAATGAGGATCCTTCGAAGGAGAAATGGCACAGGTATGATGTTTTTACAGTGAGTTCCAGTGTACACTAAAATGAGACGAGGCACCCATGCACTCATAATTTTTTTAGAGTGAACACTGCTGAACACATAGATATAATGCCGACGTAATTTTTCACAGACTGAGAGGGGTAGTGGTCTTGAACCCCTATAAAGTTCACGGTACTCCCGAAGTATGTGAACCAGAATGGCAGACACCGGAACGTAGTATGTGTACCAGGTTAGGGTTAGACCATAATTTCAGGTACAAATACTATGGGAGTCACTTGGCTAGTCTCTGAACTCATAATAGAACTAAAATAGGAAAAATTTGAATAAAATTATGGCCTAACCCTAACCTGGTACACAAACTACGTTCCGGTGTCCGCCATCTTGGTTCACATACTTCGAGAGTACCTAACATACATAGATAGTGTCACATTATTTAACCTAAATATTATTAATTCCAATCAGTTTTCTGATGGAGTGAGTCTGAGTAATTCCGTAATAGACGATTATTAACGTCCTTGGCTCTAAATAATTTGTAATAATTGCCAAACAATTTATGAGGAGCTCTTCACAGTGTGCCTTGTTGACAGTGAAAACCATGATTGAGCAGCGGGTAGGAAAGAATACCCTGAACAATGCTTCACATAAACAGTCACTGATAAATAAAGGACGACCAGAGTCTTACTAATCTGGCCCAAGTGGGCCACAGAGCATTCGGTGTGGGGCACAAAACTAGGTGCAAGATTTTGATTTCAATGCAATTTCATTTGCATGAATTGATATGATCTTGCCCTCCTCATTTTGGATATTTACTTTCCAGTCATGCGTTTTCAACATGTTTTCTGAATTAAACATACTTTCGCCTTATGTGTTATCTGTAGTTTATTGTTAGCTAGTTATTTTTAAAGGGGAAAGGGGCAAAACAAATTCTAAAAATTGTCTTCTGTAGTTATATATTTATATAATTAACTCTCATCAATTTCTTCAGGCCTGGGTGCAAACGTCCAATTCACGAAAACTCTCACTATGGTTCTGATGACCCTGATAATTTCCATGATGGAAAAAACATTAAGAAAGACCCTGATGCAACTCAAGGTAGGAATTTCATATTCTGTCATTGAGGATGTCCAAAATGAATCGGACGTTCGAACTTCGACAATCTGCAGACTTCAATTTAGATATATTTGAGAATATTTATGTTTAAAAAATTATCGCCATAATTTTTGAATTGAATTGTAAAATATCAATGCCAATCAAATCAGTTTGTTTTTCTTATTAAAACATGGTGATCAGAGCATTTCTTGGTAGATTAAATAATAGATGAATAATGATAAAATTTATTTAGGATTATATGCCTGATCCTTATCCGATCCAATTCTGATCCGATTATATGCCTGATCCTTAGTTCCCTAGTTCAGTGTTTCCCAACTTATGGGTCGCGACCTAAAGTTTTCTGGGATTGCTTGTATTTTCAACAAGAAATTAAAGGTTACCAATTTTATTTTCTAGTGAATTTTGTTGTTTATTTTATATTTGGTATTGTACTGTTCCTCAATAGTAATTGTATTTTTCGCTCAGGTTAAACTAGCGCTGAAGTGTGTGTACCAATATGGAGGTAACGAATTTTGTTCGCCTATTTTACATCAAGTTGTGTAAAGGTACTGAAATCTATGGGCAGGGGGTATATTCACTTGGCTAAGCCAGACAGTCCCCGAACTCGAAATAAAACTGAAATAAGTAAAATCGGAAATAAATTATGTCCTAACCTTAACCTGGTGCACATATAATGGGAGTACTGTTCATTACACCCCAGGCTAGGTGGTTGGCATTGAATGAAGCCTAAAATTTTAACCTGTAGTGTCACAGTTATATCTAACACTTTAACCACTCGGCCATATGCACGGACTATGGTAGTGGAGGGAGCTGTAATCAACGAGAAAAAACTACTCCCTCATGGCCTTTAAAATAAGCTTTTTATTGTTTAGCTTGCAAAAATTGGGGGTCGATCTGTTTACCACTTTCTCAACATGTTGGAGTTTCTATCAGAGCTGGCAATTCTACTTTTCCGCTATTCAACGGGCGTTCACCTGATGAAGTACCCGGAAGCGATGTTGCCTCAGCATGTGATAGAGCGTTGTTACCAGGTAAGTCTTTCATGAAGGTCTTCCACACTCTCAATACAAACTAGGCTATGTACAAGCCAGCCAGGGCGATTGAGGATGTCCAAAATGAATCGGACGTTCGAACTTCGACAATCTGCAGACTTCAATTTAGATATATTTGAGAATAATTATGTTTAAAAAATTATCGCCATAATTTTTGAATTGAATTGTAAAATATCAATGCCAATCAAATCAGTGTTTTGATTTGACTTTCTTCAATTTTCAGATTCAAACTCGACTCCACCTTATAGGGCGTTCATAAAGTTTTGAACTTTTTTCAAATCGTAAAGGGAATTTATCGATACCGTATATTGGGTACTCCTGAAGTATGCGCACCAAGATGTCGCATAACCTGAACCCTAACCTGGTACACAACCTGAGGTACAGGGGCGAGCGTATTCCAAGCACTTAGCGCGATGCGCCACATCACCGAGCTTTTTTTAAAAACAAGTCTCTGCCCAAGCAGCCACTGCTAGTAGATGATATATTCATTTGTATATACATCACCGCTACAAAACACCATGGTTCTTTGTTTGTTCTACTTTATGCAACTATTATTTCATTTGTCTTCAAGGTGATCTTGAGGAAAACAACAATGAAGAAACCACTCCCATGAAAGGTAACGTTTCTGTTTGTCAAACTTGCATTCTTCTTTCAAAACTGGGCCGTAAAATCCCTGGAGTTCTATCCTGCGATATTTTGGGGTCACAAGCCTTTACCCGGTACAATTTGCAATGCCTTCCTTTATTTAATGTGAATCGACTTTTCTTTATTTAATTTTTTTACTGCAATGTCGTTATTCTTCTTCATTCGTTTGTTTTTCTTATTAAAACATGGGGATCAGAGCATTTCTTGGTAGATTAAATAATAGATGAATAATGATAAAATTTATTTAGGATTATATGCCTGATCCTTATCCGATCCAATTCTGATCCGATTATATGCCTGATCCTTAGTTCCCTAGTTCAGTGTTTCCCAACTTATGGGTCGCGACCTAAAGTTTTCTGGGATTGCTTGTATTTTCAACAAGAAATTAAAGGTTACCAATTTTATTTTCTAGTGAATTTTATTGTTTATTTTATATTTGGTATTGTACTGTTCCTCAATAGTAATTGTATTTTTCGCTCAGGTTAAACTAGCGCTGAAGTGTGTGTACCAATATGGAGGTAACGAATATTGTTCGCCTATTTTACATCAAGTTGTGTAAAGGTACTGAAATCTATGGGCAGGGGGTATATTCACTTGGCTAAGCCAGACAGTCCCCGAACTCGAAATAAAACTGAAATAAGTAAAATCGGAAATAAATTATGTCCTAACCTTAACCTGGTGCACATATAATGGGAGTACTGTTCATTACACCCCAGGCTAGGTGGTTGGCATTGAATGAAGCCTAAAATTTTAACCTGTAGTGTCACAGTTATATCTAACACTTTAACCGCTTGGCCATATGCACGGACTATGGTAGTGGAGGGAGCTGTAATCAACGAGAAAAAACTACTCCCTCATGGCCTTTAACCTAATCCTAACGGTTTGACGCATGCGCGACGTTTCAGACGTTTTGCAATGCTGTGTGTATACCATGAGGTCTGGAATGTTTGTTATGGTCTTGCTTGAAAGGAAATCTTATTCCCCACACAACGATATGAGAATGAACCTTACATGACATTTAGAAGTGATAAAATTTCGCTTACATATCACGCGTGTACTTCCCGCTGCGATATAAAAACGTCGCACAACAAGAAAATGATTCCATAAACCTTGGCGTTGCGCGCTAACCAATAACAAAAGCTAGTATGATAAGGTCTTATTTTGAAGGTCATTTTATATGCTACATAACATAGGAGAGTGGACATCTCACAACGTCAGGAAGTTATAAAAATATCGAGTCGTTTGATCGCAGCTGCCTCACCGAAAAAAAGTTAGGCGTTTTATCTCGCAAATTCTCCTTGTCTGACGATTATAAGCTTTTATGATTCATAATAAATGTTTTATTATGACTCACAAAAGCTTTCAACGCGATAAAGCACAAACAAACAACCGATCGATCTATCAAGCTTAGCCTGGCCTGATTCGATGTGGTGACTTCTCAAACGGAAAATTTCCAAAACGATTGAACGACACGTGCTAACGAAAAGCGTTTAGTATCATATGAAAGAGAAAACCGATGTGCAGTCAACTGTATAGTTACATTTCAGCTTTACAATAGCTGTAGACGTCCAACAGCTGATAGAATGAGAGAGTGTAAATATTTTTGTTATTTTTTGACGTTACGAGAGACCTCTTGAAAGAGGTGTTTTAGTTTACGGTCCTCCAGTGACATCTAGCGTATAGTACTCTAAAATACCTTTCCAATGGTATATAATTATTGTATATTGGGTAAATTTTGGGGGTCGTATGGCATTAATAAAAATGTATTCAAAATTGGGCTCGATTGGGCGTCTGAATCAGGTTAAAATAAGCTTTTTATTGTTTAGCTTGCAAAAATTGGGGGTCGATCTGTTTACCACTTTCTCAACATGTTGGAGTTTCTATCAGAGCTGGCAATTCTACTTCTCCGCTATTCAACGGGCGTTCACCTGATGAAGTACCCGGAAGCGATGTTGCCTCAGCATGTGATAGAGCGTTGTTACCAGGTAAGTCTTTCATGAAGGTCTTCCACACTCTCAATACAAAGTAGGCTATGTACAAGCCAGCCAGGGGCGAACACCCAGGGGGTCGGGGGGGGGGGGGGGGGGGATCGATCTCCCCCCCCCCTCCCCAATAATTTCGCAAAAAAATTTAAATTAAACGGTTTTAACGCAAACGCAATTAAACGGTTAATAGTTGCCGATATTATAACTGTTTCCTTACAATAATGTGGACCAGAGCGCCTTCGGAGCACCTCACATTTGAAAAACATGCGCGCCCTCACAGGTAATACTTCGTCTTCAAACGCACCGCCGATCACGCGCCACGGTTTTGCACAACTAATTCATTTTTGTACAATTTAATATGATTTTCTCATTGTCAAAATCTTTCAATAGTGTTATTGTTGGCACTTGCGAGAGAAGTGAAAGAGGCAAACTGTGTTTCATTACAACAATTAATTATTATCGCTAAAAAATTAACTAGATCTAAAGTTGTTATAAACAATTTTCACCGATGGACGTATCTTTTCACGTTATGGATTTCGTGCAAGGCCCAGCATAATTTGCGGGCAAATTATGTTTACTTATGTTATGTTTACAAGCATTTACTATGTCGAAAAGTTGAAAGGCGGCAATATAAAATACTAAAAATAAAACTGTAAATAGTATAAGTTTTGTTGAGGCCTGGGACAGTCTTAAAAACGCTTTTCTGGGCATCGAAAATCGCAAAATTTCGTGTGCCTACGGCACAAATTATGTTTGCTTGACCTTTAAAAACATTTCGTCACTAAAATCGAAACACTGTCAATTGTGAGCGGGATTTGCCTTTTTATCCATTACTTTTAAATTGACTTTGAAAATTTTCATGTTAACATTAAACAAAGCTGAGAACGCGACTTTTCCCCGGTTTGTGATGATATATAAGATAACTAAAGTATATTCGATAACTTTTTGTATTTATTTATGTATTTTTATTGTACTGAAATAACTTTTAATACGTGAGAATTGACAGAAAATTTACGGATTTTTCGAAAGGTTTTATCTTTAAAAATAATCGGAGTGACAACATTGCGATTGAGCAGAGCCAGTGTGACAAGTACATCTCAAATTTATCGAATGCGCAAAATAGCAAAAATACGGATCAAAACAATATATAAACGGGCAGTTTACCACACATTTTTATGTCCGCGGATTGCCGTCGTGTTTCAGAGTGGCTCTTGTTTTGTCGATTCAAACGCAGTTTAAGGATAGGATAGGATTTACATATTTATCCCGGGGGAGAGGAAAGCCGATAAGACGGCTCATCCATATGACGAACCACGGCCTCTCGTCCGGTTACCATTCCAAGTCGGGTATGGGATTAGTTTTACTGTATTGTTTGTTTTCGGAAGCATGGACTTGGTGGTGGAGGAAGCCGTAACCGACCAGCGGTTACGTGAACCACCCAACGACGGCAAGGAGTCCAGCAATCCTCTCGCACATAACCATCCCTGCATGGGATTCGAACCTGCGAACCCGCGCAGAGTAATTAGAGGTGCGGTGGCGAGCGTATTCCTAACGCTTAGCCCATTGAGCCACACTGCCGCGCCACTTTAAATTGAACTTTAAATTTAACTTTAAATTTAAATAAACTTTAACTTTAAATCTAAATTTAACTGAACCTTAAATTGAAGACAATTAAATTAATAAATCAAAACATTTTGAATATGCCCGTATCGGTCTTTGATTGATTACTTTGCACATTTTTCGTTGATAAAGTCGGCTCTTTTAACAAGTGGCGTAATCGCGGCGACTGTTCCGCGTGGATTTTGAGGCGGTGAATTTGTATTTTTGATTTACTAGTATACTTTATAATTATTTTCATTGTATGAATTAAAATTGTACTATATGGGATTTTATATCAGATATCGAGACTTTTGTAACGGCGATAACGAGTTCGGAAGATTGCAAAAATACGTATCAAATTTAAATACATCAGGCAGCTTATCTCATATTTTTATGTCCACATATCGCCGTGGTACTTTAGTTTAGTAATATTTTTATTTGGACGTAAGAAGTCGCAACCACGAGTTACGTTGCACACAATTAAATTAATATATAAGGACATTTTAGAATCTCGTGGCTGTCATGGATCGACAGAAAAATCAATATACGCTTCAAATAGGCGGCTCTTTTAACGAGCGCGTAATCGCGGTGCTTGTTGCAGACGGCAATGGGAAGTTCAGACTTTGACCCCGCTTTTTTTTTTTAATTCTGGCTGTGCGCCTGAACTTGTGCCTGTTTATTTTCGTATTAAATTATAAATAAAAACCCTGCAAAGTCATTGCGTGAATCCTGAATGTTATTTCGAGTTCAAATGATGATTTAATAACTCGGAATTCAAGAAATTGGTTCAGTGACGCGCAAGTTCCGTGTCCGAGCAAAGCAGCCTAGGTAATCTATATATGAGTAGCAAAATGACATGCTAATACTTAGAGAATGACATCGACAGGTTATTGTTACGTGACGATACACGGCGCGGTGTTTTTCGGTAGGCGATCCAAGTTCGCCCCCCCAAAATTATGGAAAGTGTCCGCCCCTGAAGCCAGCGTTTGATGTATTAGGAACTAATAATATAATTTTCAAAAAAATATGTAGGGAGATATTATGCCTTTTAAAATTTGGCGACTTTAATGTTTTTCGAAATTCAAACTTGTTGAAAGGGTCATTGTGGCTTTATTTTCATCGATATTCTCAATGGAAATTCATTTTCATAAAAACTACAAGCATAGTCGTAATTTCAGCGGACACAAGTGGGCTAAAGCACTTTGGTGGTGTGTTGGATTGGTAGTTTGCTCACCCCTGATATACACAGTACAGCAGTAGACACCACAGCTTTTTGTTTTTTTCCCACTTTATCAAATGAAAAATTATTTGCAATATTTGTCTTGAAGGTGATCTTCTTTATCTTGATGAAAACAACAATGAAGTAACCATTCCCATGAAAGGTAATGTTTTTGTTGCGTTCAACAAGTATTCTTCTGAGATATATAGGGCCTGAACCTGGGCCTTTGGATCCCGAGGCGACCACCTATTGTTTCTCAGGGGGCCCTGAGCCTTCACTAGTTATTAGAAGTAAATTGTTTGTTATTTAATTCCCTGCAATGTTGTTTGATTGTTTTCAATTTTAGTACAAGCTGTTTAAAGTGACGTACCTAAATATTATGTATCTTTTATATATAAGATTTAATTCTGCCAGCAGAGAAGAAAGGTGATAATCCAGGCCTTATGAGTATTTATTTCAGACCCCACATGCTTCTTAGAGCATTGTCATCATTAAAATGGGAAATGTGAAAGTTTCCTTTTATCAAATACCTATTATAGTTTTAGAGTTGTTTTCATCATTTTCTCATATTTGCACCAAATTATATACAAAAAGAACTGTGATGCAATAATAGACTGTCTCGGTTGGCAAATAATCCCCAGTCGGGGAACTACAACAATCTTTATTGAAGATTTCTTCTTGCACTTTGTGGTTATCCAATTTAACACGAGTTGCTTTTCCGTTACCTCTCCAACTAAAAAGTCAAATACACTATTTATTTACTGTTAAATAAGCTTAGGCTTTAGGCTTACTGTGAAGTATATTTTCTGGGAAGACTGGATCCCACAAATTTTCAAGTTTCGTATACAGAGTTTTTGTAAAAATAGTTGAGTGATAGTGGACGAAACAGTGACCAAACAAAGGTAGATATGGAATTTTATGTTATGACCTCTCATGGCAGTGCCCTTAAAATAAGCTTTTTGTTGTTCAGCTTATGAAAACCCAGATCCATTCCGATTCCAACTTCCCGAAATTGAACTTGCTATCAGAGCTTCTGGAAGTGATGTTGCCTCATCTGTAGCATCTGATAGAGCATTGACAATGGGTAAGTTTTTCACTCCTGCATTACAGACAAGGGTCTATACAAGCGGTTCTCAACCGAGAGCTACAATGCTAGGTGCAAAATTGATTTTACTTTTCTCTCTACAAAGAAACTTCACCTTCATTAAGAGGCTATTTCACAGGGTGTTTTACACAGGGTATTGGGCATTTATTGTTTAATGGGATTCGGAATCTACCAATGAAAAAAATACTCTACTGCAATGACAAACGAGGGGGCGTGAGCGCTAAAAGCGTTTGAAAGGGCCCCGAGCCATTAAAGGTTGGGTACAACTGCTCTACACAAACCAGTCGTTGATATGTGAGGACTCATTATATAATTTGATAGAATTTTTTTTACAATGCAATTCATTCGCACAATGCTTGGTAAAACGAAAAATACGCCTTCCAAGAGACTGTTGCTATCTTTATGCTTTGGTATTGGTACCCCTGGGGTATGCATAACAAGAGGACGAACACCGGAATGTAGTTATGGTTAGGCCATAATTTCAGGTACAAATACTACGAGAGTCACTTGGCTAGTCCCCGACCTCGTAATAGAACTGAAATAAGAAAAATTGGAATAAAATTATGGCCTAACCCTAACCTGGTACAAATACTACGTTTTGGTGTCCACCATCTTGGTACGCATACTTCAGGAGTACCTTGGTATTTACCATATTTCTCAAAGCTAAACTTAATTTTCAAAATTAGCTGATATTTATGAAAATCAAACTGAATTTTGTTTTTGTTAGTTTAATTTTTTAAAATTAACTGGTGCTTCTTATGCATCAGTGTGAGGAAATGTTATTTCAACGTTTACGCATATTTTTAAACTGATGTATTTTATCCAACCCAGTTGACAAAATACACCAAGAAATCTCACTCATCAAGAACTTAGCTTTCACAGCGATATTCATGTTTTTAACAGGATCTTCTAGTAATTTTTCCATGATACTTGGAGAAACTGCCTCTTTGGCGTCTGCACCTGGCAACAATTATCAACTTTCAAGACTTCTGGTAAGTTTAAGTGAGAGATATTTTTTAGCGCTTTCGAAGTATCTTGGTGCACATACTTTGGGAGCTTTATTTTTATATTGAAAAATAAAAAAAATAGGAAATATGTTCACTATTTTATCTGTTTTCAAAAATGTGATATAGGTAGGCCTATTACAATACATCCTGGTTTAGCCAGGACACTCCTAATTCTGACAAGCTGCCCCGGTATGTCCATCATATAGAAATTTTCTAATCCATATTAATACAAAATTTTCATTTGTCAATGGATGCCATTATCACTGATTATTCAAATTATCTATTATATTGAATATTCATATGAGTTGAATATTGCTAAGCGTCGAAATCGAACCAAGGCTTGTCCAATCCAATCTGTCCTGGTTTTTATTTTCATATATATGGTAATCCTAGATATAGGGCTTTATGGTCATAGTTTAGTTCCCAAAAAATAATTTTTATTAACATATCATTAAATATCAGTGGCCACGTGTACAGTTTTTTTTTCAGTCGCCTGTAATGATTTAAAAATAAGTACCTTAATATAGGCTTTTTAACTTAACACAAAGCCAAATTTAAAATGAATCTAAAGTGAAACACAGCACAAGTAAATGTTACTACGGTAATTAAAAATGAAGGCGTGGTGGTGTGGCACATCCTGCTAGGAATACGCTCGTCACCGCACCTGATTGACATGCGTGGGTTTCCAAGTCGATAATGTACGGGAAGATTGCTGGACTCCTCATCGTCGTAGGGTGGTTCACCAAACTGCTGGTGGGTCAAGGCTTCCTTCGCTATCAAGTCCATGCTTTCGAATACTAACAATTGGCTAACTAATCCCTTACCGACATCGGATTAGAAGATGTGGTTCGCCATGTGATTAAGCTGTGTTGCCGAAACTGACCAGCGGTTACGTGAACTACCCTATGGCGCCGAGGAGTCCAGCAATCCTCTCGCACATAACTATCCCCGCATATGATTCGAATCTGCGAACCCACGCAGAGTAATCAGAGGTGCGATGGCGAGCGTATTCCACACAACAATGCGCCACACCACGGCAAGCCGTTAATCAATATCTTTAAAAAATTTGGCAGGCTTGGGGGAAGGGACTAATCATAATATTATCTCCACTGCTATTGCTGTCAATCATAAACAAGAAACCCCCAGTTCCAGAACATTGTCAAGCACGTATCTCTTCAGAGGTATGTTTTTTATTCTTTCTGTGTGCTTTTTCACTAATTGTTCAATCAAAACTCATGGGTTCAAATCCATTGCCCCATACCTTACCCAGGGTGTAATAAAAGGGTGAGCAATGCTGAACAGAAGAGATCTAGATCAGGGCCACCCAAACTGGGATTTGCGACCTCGCTGAGGGGCACACAATGAATTTTCGGGGTTGCAAAGAGTACACCATTTCCTATAAAATACTATATCTATTTCCCTTTTTTTAAAGCTAATTCAAAATACAATTATTAGAACAAGTGCAAAACATAAGGCGCTCCAAAAGTGTGTGTACCGGTGTGAAGGTATAGTTTTTTATTCGTCTATTTTACATAAAGATGTATAGAGGGAATGAAACCCATGGGCAGTACAGAACTCGTAATAGAACTAAAAGGAAAATTGGAATAGGACTATGACCTAACAATCCCTAATCTGGTAAACATACTATGGGAGTACCAAACACAAATCTTGCAATTTCGAGAGAATACATAGAATCAGAAAAGCCTGCACAACAATGCCGACTTTGATAGTAAGACTGAGCAAGGCGCTTGCATATCAATGTTGACCTAACAGGGGTCACAGAAAATTTTTATATATTGAAAAGGGTCGGGAACTTAAAAGTTTGGGTAGCTCTGATTTAGATCATTCCAAGCTATTATAGCTTCTTATCTTGCAGTGGTTGCATTTAAAATGCCCTGTATAGAGCGAGAGGCACGAGCATTGTGATAAAAAAATGAGGCATAAGCAAAATATTGGCAATTCTCAGTAATAACAAAAACAAAACCGTTTCACTCCTCATAAATATTTTAATAAAAATAATTTTCTTAACAATTTCCAGAGATCACTTATTTTCAGATTCTGCGTGTACTACGTCCATCTGTACAGAATGTTGGTGCAATAGTGGCAAATTCTTTTTTTCGTATTTTCAATCACTGTGACAAAAACTTGTGCAATGACACTGTGTTATCGTTTCTTTTAGAGTATGGAGGGTGACCGTATTGTTTCGTGTTGCAGAGATGTCCAAAACGAATAAAATTAATTCAGTGTATTTTTTATTTTTAGAATGACTTTGATTAGTTTCATTTGAAAAGTCATAATTTCTAGCAATTGATGTTTCACATTATGATCAAAAAGGCCTTTTTTAATTTCTGACTGTAAGACTGTAAAATGGCCAATCTGTTCATTATTTGTTTTAACTTTCCATTTTTTTTTTTAATTCAATTTTATCACAGTGGTTCTCAAACTTTTCAAGCAACCCCCCTTTTTAAGAATTTGTCAAATCTCGTGCCACACCTCAAAAATAGCTATGACGAAAGTATGTTATATTCTAAAAACATGTGGATGGAACTTAAATATCCAAAAGAAAGAAATGTAAATATCCAAAATAGGGCGGGTAGGATCAAATCTAAAAAATTGTCTACACCACCCTTGTTGGGTGCGCCCCATAATTTGAGAACCAGTGCTCCAGAACATTTTCAAATATATTCAATGCTCAAAAAGACAATTATCGAATGTCTTCAGAAATTTCATATTATTCGATTTTGAAAATCTTTGTTTACGTGTTGCTGTTTTGGAAAAGAGAATTGAATTCTCAATATTTGTTGTATTTTGCTGCTAACATATTACATGATAATAAGCTTACTGATTTTCTGTTTTTTGAAATTCTAAATTTGAATAACTGTATACTCTGGCATATAAGCTGATTTTAAAAATCTAAAAAAAAATCCGCCAAACTAAATGGGCCGTGCATAACTCTGATTGCACTAAAACGAAATGACATTACACTAAATTAATTAAAGAGTGTGCATGCACACGCGTGAAGCAGTGCTTGGTATGCTATGACAGCGATAACTATCTGTGATTGGTTGTCATGAATTTTTATAAATTCTCCATTTGAGCGCTTTTTTAGGTCAGCTTATATGCGATGATATACATTTTTTAACTAATTAAAACTTCTGATGAAGTCTATATCTATCTTGGTTTAGATTTGAATAATAGTTTGTGACACTTGATTTAACATTAGAAACTTTTTCGGCCCTTTTGAAATTTTTTCCCATTTAGCCTTACTTATCTAGATTCTGGGTATGCCGTATTTCTCCCTGCATAACACGCACCAATAATAATAATACACATGCGTATTTTAGCAGAAAGTTCCAATTTCCATATATTATGTTTTCCTTCATCTCTTTCGTTGCAGGTTTTTTTTTGCCAGGGATTTCAGACATTCTGTCTGATTTTTATGTACCCTCTTATTCTGGAGGTGAAATTTAAACATGAAAGTGAGTGTTATACCCGGAGAAATACAGTGTTTTCTTGCAATATTAGAATAGTTCATTATAATTTTATCGTTTAAAAGATTCTGGTCTTATAAATTTCATAAATTTGTATGTCAATATTTGAATTCAATATCTTCATTATAATATTTTATCATGTAATGTTTGTGCAGCGGTCACCCTCCAAATGTAGATGCGGTGGAAAGCTATTGACCTATCACCTTTGTTTCTTGTTCTTTTAAAAGCTTTAATATCCGAGACGTGAAAAAAATTCTCTATGAAGTGCGGAAACAAAAAATTCTCAAAAAAGCTGTTTGGAGAAGTTGAGGAAAACATAAATTTTTGATTTTTTTGTGACTTTCATTGGGCTTTAACCCTCAGCCTATTTATTTAAATACTTCAGTGAAATTTTTTTAAACTATGATTAGATATCTGCTTCAAGAGCGCCTATAAGTAAACTGTTCTTCAAAATTTCAACATTTGCCTTTTTTTCTTGATACCCTTGAAATGATACGAATAATTCTATAAGTCTTATGATAGTAAACTTTGACAAGTCTATGTTTTTACTAAGAATATTTATAACTCCTAAGAATCTCTTAAAATTTGATCGATTTTAACTTAAAGTGCTAGATGCAAAAAATCTGTTCAGTATCATTCTTTCGAATATGACAAAATAAAGGTGTGCATTCATGTTCATTCCACCGCATCTTCGTAAAGTCTTGTACATAGCTTTTCATTCATTCATTCATTCACATATTCTAACACTGTGCCTTATACCTTTATTTTAACACTGTGAATTCATTGAAAATGACCCATGTATGACATCAGTATCCATTATTTAGTTATAAGTATTCATATATGCTTTGATTATCTATATTAATTTGACCTGGTTCTGTGAAGATATTATAAATAGGCGGTGCTCTCTTGATTTTCAGCCTATTTTTTATATTTTGCATACAGATTGTAATTGACTTTTGCCATGGACTACTGTGGTGAAGTGTTAGACTTAAATATGGTTGCATCACACGTAATATGGTTGCATCACAGGTTCAACCCCATCCGCATCTTATTATTTTGACAGCATATTTTATGTCATACATGAGTCATTTTCTCATTTTTTATTTTTTATATTTTTAATGTTTTTGCCTTCTAAAGACATTTGTTATCTGTAGTTTCCAGGGAATTTTATTTTCGAACAAAAATAGATTTTCCAACCATTTTCTAAAGCCGAGATTGAAAGGAAGGTTCGAAAAACGTTATCCTGGAAGCTTTTTCTCATCAGAAAATGAGGGAAGAGAGTCATGACCAGAGCTGTCTGGAAATTTTGACTTGAAAACTTGACTCCATACATCCTTGTTTCTGACTCTTGGTTTTTGACTCAGACTCCTAACTTAAAACTAAAATTCCACCACAGAAAATCTAATAATCCTGATTGATCTATTATCGGTTATATAATTCTTCGGGAATATAATTCTGATTGAGCAGCTTCAAAATATGGGCTTAGTTTTGTGGTGAAGGTCTATAGAGACCGACTAGCACATCAGCTCCCAACCTGGGGCCCATGACCCCCGAGGGGTCATAAAGTTGTTCGCAAAATTGATTTTACTTTTCCTCCTTGCAAGAAAACAGTTCTTCCTAGTTTCATTGCTTGATAAGGTCATTTTACAGGGTATTCACACTTTGTTGAAGATGAATTGTTTGAACATAATTGGATTTGGAATCTATTACGAGTAATCAAAATAACACTATGTCTATAAATACTACTTTAATGACAAACAGCGGATTCATGAATGCTAGAAGACTCTAGAAAGGGGGCCACGGGAAAGGTTGGGAATCCGATACTTTATCCATATTTTGTTAAATAACGAATGTTTTGACAATCATGTCAATATCTTTTATAATTTTTGCCACTCAAATTATTTTTTTGCTGTTTGTCAGCGTGTTTGTATAACCCAAATCAGATTTAGATATACAAGGTATTCATAAAGTCCTGTTACAAATTCAATTTTCTTATGAAACCGGTACTCAAGATTTATTTTTCTATTTTCATCAGTGTTTAATTTAGTTTTTTTTTACTTCATTCAATACACTTTTAGGGGGCACCAAACTGTATATGGCTACTTGGCAATTCGAGAAACTTTTATAAAACTGTATGAATACCTGTATATCTAAAAGAAACCTTGAATAGTATTGTTACAAACTGAAATATTGGAATTTTTGATAGCGTGTTATGGATGACGTATGCAATTGATGGTACTCCCAAAGTATCAAGATGGCACTTGGCTAGTCCCCAAACTCTTAGTAAAACTAAAATAAGAAAAATTTGAATAAAATCATGGCCTAACCCTAACCTGGTACATATATAGGTTTCAATGTCCGCCATCTTGGTTCACATACTTCGGGAGTACCAAATTATTTTGGTATTGATTGACACTATAGTAAATTGTCATATTTTTCCCTTTCAAATTTGGTGAAAATATTTAATTTGAATTGGTATGTATATTAAATCGCCAGCTAAATGTAAAAAGTATTTGACAAATTTAAATTCTGTGTTAGAGAAAAAATGACATTCTGAGTAACTCTCATGATTTCCAATTTCAGTATCACTAGTGGGTGCTATGATTTTTTGGTAGCTAAGCAATTTAAAAGTGTTATGAATTTTGGATTGCCATATTCTATGTATATATTCTGGTAGTAATTTACAGTTAATTTAGAGTAGATTGATGAATGTGATGTTGTAATAAATAGGACGGAGTTTCTCATATTTACCCTGGCAGAGAGGGAGGAATGGCAAACTATCAAGTTATGAACTCTGTTCTATTTTTCAGTCCATGTCTGATATAAAGATTACTAAACCATTCCAGGTATTATGTAGCTACCTCACGGCGCACACCGATACTATATTCTTGCGTACCTACATATTATGGCCTAACAATTTCAATTTATATGACCACCCTGGTTAATATGAAGTATGCTATCAGCATATATCCAGATATCAGAATCTCAGAAGCAGTACTGTGCTTAATTATTCTCATACCTGACATGGACTGGTAACTAGATAAAAAGGCGCTGCAGAAGTATGAACCAAGATGACGCACAACGTAACGTAGTACGTCTACCATGTTAGGGTTAGGCCATAATTTTATTTTTTATTTTAATTCTATTACAAGTTCGGCGATTAGCCAAGTGACTCCCTTAGTGTTTGAAATTATGGCCTAACCCTAGCCTGGCACATATACTACGTTCCGGGGGCCCGCCATCTTCGTTCACATACTACAGGAGTACCATGGCTTGAGCGATATATCTGCTTTCCTCTTTCCCAAGATAAATATAGAAAGTTTTAATGTAAATTCAAATTGAATCACACAATCATTATCTTTTGTATATAGATTATTATTTCTATTGTAAATATAACTGATTGTATATTTATGAAATATGTGAGGCGAGATATCTGAAACTATCAATTCCAAATTCGCTCATGTGATGTAACAAAGCAAATCACCATGAATATGTCTTACATCATAGGAACAATGGTGATGATAGTTTCAAATCTTTTGCCTATTTTGTAATTTGAAATTGTGTTTTAGTAAAATATGTTTGGGCGCGATGGCCAAGTAGTTAGATTATTCGATTTACCTATGTTGGCATGCAATGCCCACCACCTCACCCAGGGTGTAATAAATTGGGTAGGCATTGCCGAACCGAAAAGATTCCCGTCCCTACAAAAATAGTAGTCCCTTACGTATTGATATATTGCTGCTTGTGCAGGGCTTTGTACGAAGTGAAGGGCGTGAATGAGTACCATCTCATGCCCACCCCTTCACCCGGGGTGTGAGTAATAAAACGGGTAGGACCTTGGTCCTTCCAAAGAATGCATATATGAAAACTTACTTATGCTGAATACTGGATTATCAGCAAAAATGGCCAGCTAAAAGCTGTGTGCCAAAATATAGTGATTACAAGATCAGATCACACAAGACTTTGAAGTTTATTTAATGACTCTTAAAACATTTTTATGTAACAAAATGCATCGCTTATTATGCTGTAAAGTGTGAATCTCCAGGATGTCATCTGCACACTTCGCTCTCTCAAGCGAGGTGGGATGGGAGAACTATTGAAGTGGTGGTGGCCTACACACACCACTGCATTTGGTGAAATGGATATTTCTGCCTTTCAAAGCTTATTTTGAAGAACTGCTTGTCTAAAGATGTGGCAGTTAAACTGAAATTGATGGAGATAGAACACTTACTTTGAATCATGAGATAAAGTAATTTCACCATACAACTTAGTTTGTTTACTAATGGTTGAAATATTTGTTCTCTTACGTTACAATGCATTTTGAAAAACTTGTATATGTATATATTGAATCGCATGTATGTTATTCACGAAAATATATATCCAGGATATCTAATATGTTTTCATGTACATGACTGTCTGGTTGCGTTGCACAATGGAATCTTGAAAACGATAGACACCGACCCAAAATTATTGTTATATTCTCATATTTTGTCGCTAGCATTTGCCACCATGAAATTAGCTTTGCAGTCGACCTGCTTACATAAAGGCAAGTTTTGTGTCGACCTCACAACTTGTTTTTCCATATACATCAATATTCTTGAGTGTTACAACAAATTGGCATTAAGTAATTGTCAAAATTTAATTTGCTGCTCAGATTTTCATATGCCCCTGCAAGCATTCAACATAATATTAGTTCTGGTCCCAAAAGTAAGTTTTTAGTTATGTTTCTATATTTTGGTGTGGAGCAATTGGGAAACAGCGCGGATTTGTAGTAAACCAGGATGAAACTAAAGAGTAGATAACTTAGTTCTTGGTTACTTATAATTGCGGCTGCCTGGAAGATTGGCAAGTGCAAATACTCTTCCATAATTTTCAGTGGACAAAACCTAACGACTACCCTATAATCTCACATTCTCGTGATTAAAATGGTCTGGGAAAACTTAATTCCAATGCAAACAAATTGAGTACAAATCTGAAATCAATTTTAAAGGAAAAATGTAAATGCTATTTGAACAAAAAAAACAGTTAGATAGATAGATTTTATTTCGAAAACTTGGCGCGGCGGTGTGGCTTAACGGGTTAAGCGTTAGGAATACGCTCGCCATTGCACCTCTAATTACTCTGCATGGGTTCGCAGGTTCGAATCCCATGCAGGGATGGTTATGTGCGAGAGGATTGCTGGACTCCTCGCCGTCGTTGGGTGGTTCACGTAACCGCTGGTCGGTTACAGCTTCCTCCACCACCAAGTCCATGCTTCTTAAAACGAACAATATAACTAATCCCATACCCGACTTGGAATGGTAACCGGACGAGAGGCCTTGGTTCGCCATATGGATAAGCCGTCTTATCGGCTTTCCTCCGGGATAAATATGTAAATCCTATCCTATCCTCCATAATCTGACAATACAAACAAATAAAAAATGGAAAATTCCGGAGAGCAAGCAAAATCTTTAAAAAAGTTTAAAACAAGATGAGTATCATGTGCTTGCTCAGGGATAAAGGAAATACGCTGCATCGCTTACAACCCTGTCTAATGTCGTAAGAGGTTGTGCAGTATATTGCTTCTTTTATACTCATAATGAACATTATATTTGTACATGTGATTACCATAAGTCACACTCACGAAGTCGTCGAGATTATCAACATTTTGGTGCACGTATAATAAGTATAAGTTTATTTCGACTCCATAATCAGCATAACAATACATTTGACAGATAAAAACAAATAAATAAAAACTGATTATAAAATCAGGGGAGCAAACAAAACCTTAGATAAGGTTTATAACGTACAAAATATAAGATGGAAGGTTTTGCCAAGAGGAAGTGGTACATGTTTACTCACCTAAAATTATTAAGTTATTTCACACACGCTCACATGCACCCACCAGGCACACACACACACAACCACTGAGAAGTTATTTAAGTAAGAATAAAACGCGATAAATTTAGGGTATACTATACGGTAAACAAAAAAATAAATAAATACTAGAAAAGAAAAAAATTATTTGCCACACCATATTGATATTTTTGTAATGGTTGCCATTGCCAAATTGATCGATCTTCTAATCGTTAATTAAAAATAAAAGGAAGATTCTATTGAGAACATATTGCCAAGCTGATTATATTTGGATGCAAAGTTGCCCAACCAAAGTTGCCAGAATTGGGTGCATGAGGAGGTGGGCGAGACCATTTCATTCCCCAAATTAGAGCCTATTATTGCCAAATTATAGTCCAGATTGAAATAAGTAATTAAAGTTACTGGTAACAGTAAAATTACTATAATTAAGTAAAGTAGGATATGGAAATAAATTGGTTACAAAGGATGTAAGTGAGGTTTTTCATTCTTGGGTATTGATTTCAGACAAGGATATAGGAATAAGGTTGTTATTTCACAGGATATTGGAGTCTTTTTTTGATTTTTTCCTTATGTGTTTTACTTCATTTAATCACTTTGAAGTAACCTGAAAAACCAAAAATAAAACCGCGAGTAGATGTTTCAATGATTGGGTGAAGGGGAACGCTCTGAACTATTTATTACAGGCAAAAAATAATTGTTTAATTAAATGGGATGTATTGTCATTATATAGCGATGGATAGATGATCTATGATGACATTCTGCTTGGGACAGAGAAAAATTTATTACACCATGCAAAAATCACACAAAATTTTACTATCTATACCTTGGCCAACAAGTCAACTCCAATACCATGCCTTAACATAAAATGCATGCATACATAAATGATATAAAAACCACATCCAATTACAATGACCCACAGCAAATTATAATCTGAAGGGGAGAATCCAACATAGCTCTACTGCTCGCCTAGTTGCAATAATTAGTAACCTTGCAGGAACTATATTGTACTATCTACAACCCTTATACCACCACTCAAACATAAGACCAAGCGTGTAAGATAAGGACATCACAGCTAGAAAAATATAAAAACACGAGCGTGAAGTGATAGAATGTGTGCAGTTATTTAAAGAAAATATCATCCGGGTATGTCAGCTACATATATATTTTAAAAAAAATATACTCATGCATGTCAAAATACCATTTCTTTGGTGCTGGACTAGTTCTGGCCAAGTCATGGCAAGATATAACAATATTATTATAGCTGTTCAACATTTTCATTAAAACAATAATGTGCAAGTGTGGAGTGTCCCAAGTTTTTGTCATCGAATACCACCAGTAGTAATTTTTAATATTTGGAAACTAAATGAGACTTGACTTGTTTTTGAAAAGATTTTTTGGACTTTAACGTCTTCAGATTTAAGGGAAGAGAATTCCAAAGTTTGGGTCCAGTAAAAGACAAGGAATGCTGACTCATGAAAGGTACGAATAAATCAGAACTACTTCTTCGGTTGGAGGTATTTTTGACAAGTATGTCATTAAAGCAATTGGGCAGCGCATTATTATGGAAGTCGCGAGCTAGGGATAATATTTCAAATTTCATCATATATTCAACCTTAAGTATATTTAGTGATTTGAAGTAAGAGTCTACACATTCACGTTTTCTTCTACCAACAACTATTCTTAAAAAATTATTACAAATACTCTGCAGTTTTGAGACAAGTGTTTTATTACCATGAAGCCAGACTGAACAACAATATCGAATATGGCTAAGTAGTAATGATTGAAACATTGCTAGTAGAACTGATTGATCAACACACTGGGATACTTTGGCAGAAACTGCTAGGTTTCTTTTTGTTTGTCGTAGAGGAGATGCAGACGTTTTTCTTCCAATGGAAGGCAGTATGAGACAGCGGAATAGGGTACCGTACCGGTATGTATGAACATCGAATTGTTTGATTTATATTCAAACCTAAGAAACACAAATAAAAAACAAAGAAAATATTCTTGACGAAACGCGCCGATCACGCATGAGAGATGTCGCCAAGGCAACGTCACTCAGACAGGCGTTGCAGGCTTGAAGCTAACGGTTTTCTTGTAACCACCGAGAAATCTGGATTTTTCAACTCTCGGATCGTAACAAACACAGTTCGTAAAATATACTAACGAGTTTAATAACTGACTGAAACTAACTAACCCAACAGTTAATTTGAAAGCATGCAACTAGCTCTTGGAACACCACGCGTTTTCTCACCAATTTTGCTGCAGTTTTGTTATGGCTGACGCAGGCAAACTTTATTCAAGGATGAATAGCTAAATATTTCAAGAATAATGCCAGAGTGATTAGCGTTTGGGAAAAAATTGCTGGGATCGGAAACCAATATCTCAATGTAGTGGCTTGTTAATACTGTAATAGATTGATCCCTAATGCAGTAATGGTCGGCGTACCCTTTGGGTGTGTAATGGACTTGATTAGACTAATAAATTCTAACATTCTTGCTGTTCATACCACGTTAGAAGGGATTTACATTATTAGAGAAGAAAGCCTATAAGACGACCTAGTAATATTGTAAAAACCATGGCACCTCATCCGGTTAACAGTCCATATTGTGTTGTTACCACCATAGCCAGCTATATATTTCCAGTTGCATGGACTTACTGGTAGAGTAAACTGTAGCTGGCCAGCAGTCACGTGAACCACCCTAAAACGGTGAGAAATCCTCTTGCACATAATTATACCCCAAAGGGATTCAAACCTGCAAGCCCATACAGAGTAATCAGAGGTGCGGTTGCGAGCGTATTTCTAACGCTTAGCATGATACGCCACACCGTCAAGCTATTCATTGTTTACATTATTCATTCATTGCCTGGACATATTTGTTCATTAAAACCAGAAGTGACGAACCTGCGGCACGCTAAGAAATTTTGTGCGGCCCGCCAAACATTCAGCCGATTCGGTGCATGTTTGACTCAAAGCCATAAACCTTTAGGTACTGTAGAGAGAAAACGGGAGCGCCTGTATTACTTATATTTCTGGTAACGCTATTTGCAGTACATCTTGTTTTTTTGTTTGATCATCGATTTCTTTAACAATGGATCAAAATAACTGTTGTCTGAGCCTTGTTACGCTGTCTTATCTGCAAACGCGTAGGCATTCATAGAGAAGGGGTTACCTTTTCTTAAACGCTTGATACACAAGATATTTGAAAGTAATAAAAGGTTTATAACTTCAGCTCAGTGATTAAAACAATGGAAGATCTTGAATGCCGGAACGGATCTTTGGTACAAAGCCCTCACCACTAATGTGATATTTAAAAAAAGCGTTACGTTCTGAAATAATAGCTAGTACTAGTAATTATCTAGTTGCGATTCAGGTTCGGGTTAGAAAAGATTGCAATATTTGAATTTTCAGCGCAATCTGCATTCCTAGCCCTCACCCTGAAACGTAACTGGATTATTTTTAATCTTTTTTTATCAGAGGCGGTGGTGTTTCTTCTGGCGAGGGCTTTGTACAAAGGATCCCGAAATACTCATCTGAAGCATTATTATCTAGAATTTTGCATCTTAACTCGACATTAAATGTCATAAAGGAAGGTTCGATAAGACGTAGGTTGAAATACGATCAAGGGCGCCGTCAGAATTACCAAAAAGAGGAGGGGGAGTATAAATCAGAAATTTCCATGAAACCGTCGCCGCAATTAGGCAGGCCACTTGTGAAATAGCCCACTTTTTCGAGGGATAATGTTTTTCTGTTATGTTGTCGGGTAATGATTTTGCAGTTGCGATATCAAAAACTACAATTTAGTAGTACAATACAAATTGAGTGTACAATGATACCTCGGTAGTCGACAAACGCATTCCAGTCAAAAATGCTGCGGCTCGGATCTTGAACAAGCCGAGCGGAGCTCGCGGCCGATTGAGATGACGCCATCCGAAACCGAACTCAATCAATACAGATCAAAACTGACAGACAAAAATCTCACTAAGCAAAACACGCATCGAATGTTCTATTTTATGCTGCAATATATCATTAAATACCCTCAGCTGTATGGATGCAGTTCCTCGTATTTGTTGTTGAAAATAAATAAGTATCATAGTATGACTAAAAAGTTGTGAGACCCGCGCACTCCTGATTAAAACTAATAATATTTTATATATTTCAGAATATTTAATTTATTTTACAAAATGTCTCAAGCAAGAGAATCTTTGAGTGAATATCTGGAGCGTCATGAAATTGTGAAATACATGGAAGATGCAATTAATCAACTACTAGAACAAAAAGATGAAACTCCAAAAATGGTTCCCGCTCGATTTTTATCGGATTATTTTAAAAGTGCACATGAAGGAACAAATACTTTATTTAGAGAGTTTGAATATGTTTCTGCCACAACAAAAAACAGAAAAAGTTTAATCTCATGTTTCTGGAGATGCTTTAATAAACTTGCAGGCTACGGCGAACTGCTGAGTGTTAAAGAATATCATTCCCTACTATGTTTGTTATGTTATGATTTTCCATTGGACATTGTTCAGAGAACTGCACATATTGTGCTAATGGAAGATGCTCTTGACTGTTTAATGTCCTTTATAGACTTTGTATATGCATTTCAAATTCAGTTTTATTACGAGGAATATTTAACTTTATGTAAAGAAGTTTATGAACATTTGATTAATGGTTCATCCATTGTTGTTCCCACATCTGATACCTGGCAACAGAAAAAGAGAAATTTTTCACAGGGGAACACTGAAGGTGTACAGAGTCAAGCTTTTTATGAAGCGATTGAGAAGCTAAAAGTAAAGCTACCAAAAAGTGCGCCAAGTCCAGACTCCCAACATGTTCACAGTGAACTTTCTAAATCTTCAAAAACGACATACTTTGGGCTTCTCATGGCTTTAAGTCGGAATGAAGACATCAATTCTGAAATTGGTGTTCTTCCAAACAGAGGAAATGTCCATCATAGCGATGACTCATGATTGAAATTTAATGCTGCTAGTTCATTTATTTTTTCTTCAAGCCAAAATTAAATTACCATTTTAGATACACTCTGAAAATTTCATATGTTCTAACAACACATTTGTCCCATCACTAATTATATGGCATAATTCATCTAAAATCAATCCGAAATATGGTGAATGCACATGCAAAACTTGGAGCAGATTCAACCTCGCTTTCGTGAGATATCGCGTGTATCTAACTGACAAACAAACAGACAAATACCTATCAATATACTTACTGATCTCAAGATCGATAAGTAACAAGTGCTGTTGTTAATACACACACACTGTAACATATTACATGAGGATATTCAAACCAGTCCCCCAACAATTGCCATAACTGGGAAAAATATATTTGCTTATCACATTGGAAATGAGGATGCTTGATTATTCAGCATGCAAATTGTTACTTATCGATCTTGATCGGTAAGTATGTTGATAGGTATTTGTTTGTCTGTTAGATGCACGCGATATCTCACGAAAGCGAGGTTGAATCTGTTCCAAATTTTGCATGTGCATTCATCATATTTCGGACCAGTAGCCTATTGATTTTGGATGAATTATGTCGTATAATTAGCGAGATATTAATTAATTAGTGATGGGACACACGATGTCACTATAGAGTCATGAATCATCGCTCTCCGGCCGATATTCTCGTTTATTCTTTGGTGCCATCAAAATTGCCAAGTATTCTGTAATAGCTGTCCCATCTGTTTGGAATGCTATACCTGATGAAGTTTCGATCTTCAAATCAATTACACCTGCGATGTGTGCGTTTGAATAAACACTACTCTACTGTATTCACTACTCTACTATCTACCGTTTTTGAACTATAGTACTTTGTCATCTATATTAATTGTTTTTTAAAATAAATAATGAGAGAAAGCCAACCTTGTAATTTGTGATTCATTGGGGCCAGCACGCAGGTCAAGGGTCATTAGATTCCTCCAAGGATGAAAAAATTTGAACCGGCAAGATTGCAATAGTAGTTCAAAACCCAATACATCTGTGCAAAATTATAAGTCCATAGCAGGGGAAGACATTTTTAATTTGCCTCTTCAGGTGTTGCACGAGTCACATTATAATCGATTTGCAATGTGCTATACTGCCCCAAGATACTTCCAATGCAATACATTTTCAAGTCCACATGCATCTGGAACAGGATTTTCAAGCCTTGCTTGAATGTGCTTTTTTAATGGCTCAGAATTTAACGAGTGCATATGAAATTTCATTGCCCTTAATTTGTGGGTTAGGAGCCATAATCCAGTGGTTTTCATCCTTTTAGGCAAAGTCAAACCCAGGGGTGGGAAAATGAAGTTCTCGGCGGGCGGGATTATACCATGAATAGTATTCAATATCTAATTCACATATTTATTCGCTAATGCAAGAAAGAAAATTATAAATCGCGTTCGAAGTAAAGTTTAAATTACAAAAAAATAGAGACCAAAAAATTTATCATAATGTACTAAAAGTGTAATAATGTAATATCATAATGTAAGGGGGCCGGTCAAAATCTCGTCGCGGGCCGCATGTTGCCCACCCCTGGTCCAACCCAAATAAAATATTCCCAGAGTTTAGAGAATCCGTGTGCAATAATAGTCTTATTGTCTGAATTAATTTTCTTCAAAGTGTAGCACGTTCAACAACAGTGACAAATCGAATTGGTATTTGGATGGAAGCTTGCGGAACCAGAGGATGCCCGGTTGAAAACCAACATTCTGATCGGATTCGTAGCAAAACTGACCTTAGTGCCTTATAAACCAATAATTGCTTACACATTGGAAAAAAACGTTAATTGTAAATTTCAAACTATAAGCCTATTATAATTTAGGAAATGATAATATGGGACTTTTGTAGACATTTAGACGACATAATAATATGGTGTACCACATACTCTCGTCTGGTTTCAAGTTCATGTCGAATATAGAGTTATGGACGAGTTCAGTCATTCCCATAAGTTGCGTAAGTGTCCAGCAACTCTGTCACACATAAATTTCCCCGGCAGGATTCAAATCTGAAAGACAGAGTTGTTCCTGACGCATGACACACCAACCACGCATCTTTTTAGCCAAGGTAACTGAAAGCTTATAACAAAAGTTGATTGACTGGGGACCAAATTAGAAACTGAAAAAAAATATACTCGTGGCGGGCCAATACCCGTACGGATAATTAAGATTGTATAATTGAATTGTTACGAATATACATATACCCAAATGGTGATAATGACGTAACAATCGGAGGTCTTAAGAACACAAAAAATTAAAAAAACATGATTATTCAATTATTTCAGCCAAGCTTGGCAGGCCGTAATTGGTTCACGGTAAGATAGGATTTACATATTTATCGTGGGGGAGAGGAACGACAGCTTATCCATATGGCGAACTACGGCCTCTCGCCCGATTACCATTCCATGTCGGGTATTGGATTAGTTAGTTACTTGTTTTTCAGAAGCATGGACTTGGTGGTGGAAGAAGCTATAACCGACCAGCGGTTACGTGAACCACCCTACGGCTGCGAGGAGTCCAGCAATCTTTTTGCACATAACCATCCTGAATGGGATTCGAACCTGCGAACCCACGCAGAGTAATTAGAGGTGCGGTGGCGAGCGTATTCCTAACGCTTATCACGATGAGCCACACCGCCGCGTCCGCTATTCCGGAACCACTGGCATAGACGGTTAGCAGATGCTGTATGAGCAACAAGCTATTACGAGATCAAATAGAAATCCCCTTTTCAACATAAAATTTATTTCCAAATTAAAATTTAACAATATAGCGTGAATAGGTTGGTTGTCCAAAATATAAAAGAGATAATGATTTTTTTACAACTCAGCAATTTTACAAAAAATGACAATACACAAGAGCGAATAATGGAGAACTTTCAGTGAAATAACAAAATGACATACCCTCTATTTATTGGGTTAGTATGTGAACATAAGTGAAAAACGTAGTAGGATACATGCTTTTCAGTCACTTTCAGTGTACACTTCAAAAAAAGAAATAGTTTCTTACAAACACGTTAGTCATGTGCAGTGGTGGGATTCAAAGCTTTGTCAGCTGGTTCCATCATAAAAGTCATATATTTCATCCGGTTCTGTCACAAAAAGTCATATTTTTTCACCAAATAAACCGCTTAATGCTAACCAGTTCGCTGATTTCTCAATATTCTATGAGATGGTTCTTTAGAACCGGCTGAATCCCACCACTGGTTTTGTGCCCTCACTACCTTATAGCTCAGTGGTTCTCAACCTTTTGGGATCGTGGCCTCCTTCTGAAGGCTTTCACCACTCATGGCTTCTGTTCATCATTCCATTGAAATTTATAGTGTTATTTCGATTGTTGTATTCCAAATCCAATCATGTTCAAACAATTCTTGCTTAACAAAGTAGAAACACTCTGTGAAATAGCCTTATAAAGCTAGGAAAAAATGGGAGTTTATTGTAATGTAAAGGTGAAATCAGTTTTTCGTCTAGCATCATGGCCCCCCTCCAACTGCTCTGTGGCCCTTTTGAGCAGGCCACCGGTTGGGAACCGCTGTTATCCTGATAGTATTGACTTAAAATGCTGAAGTCTCGCAGCAATCAAAAATAACTTGTGGATGCTGTAGCAGTTTGTGTTTCAGTGGTTCTCTCTAATTTTGCCTCTTTTATTTCTGAGTGCATGTAGCTTTATTTAATTCTCATCAAATATAGGAAGGGAAGTCGATAAGATGGCTTAATCATATGGCGACACGACGGCATGTCTGGTTGCCAGTCCATGTCCGGTATGGGAATAATTATGCTCCATGAGATTCTAAGCTGCGTAAGGTATTAAGAGGTTCGATGGCATCGTATTCCTGACGCTCAGCATGACACGACGATCAACTGTCCATTTTTTATGAGTGCTCATCACCCATAGTCCTGATATTATAGGGATCAGAATCTCCCTCTTTTATCGTCATTATGTTCGCCATCTTTGGTACCTTAACTGATTCTTTAGTTTTTTTCGACATGTTATGCATAGCGAATTTCACTATCGATTCAGCATCCAAAATTGCTATTGCTCGAGTTTGTTCAGAAGGGAGAGACAATGAATTCACTTCAGGAGAGAATACTATTTTATGCCCGGTTAATTTCACAGAACCAAGATTGAATTCCTCAGCTTCGCCTATCGCGAATGTTGATGTTTGTGAGTTCCCTTTTTGTCCTATGGAAATACAATTTCCTGACATTACACTTCCATTATTGGGTTCTACAGTACCAATTCCAGATGCTTCATCCATATCCATTTTTTCGCATTGTAATGTAGAAGTCTGCTGAGCGAATTCAGAATCGTTACCAGGTACAGCATTTTCAGTCTTTACATTTTTATGGCGTTTTAGATGTATAGCCAAGCGATGTTTCCAATAGAACCTTCTACCACAAATATGACAACCGAAGTGTTTTATTCCTGTATGATATATTTGATGATTTTCTAAAGACTTTTTATGATGAAAACTTTTTACGCATAATTCACATTTATACGGTCTTTCTGAGTGTGCAATCATATGCTTCTTTAAAAAGCTATCCCGCACGAATCCAGCACCACAAACTTGACATTTATGAACTTTAGAAGCATGAGCTTGCGAATGGAAAGTCAGATCTTGTCTTCGATGAAATGTTCTTTTACAAACTCCGCAACGAAAACCTTTTACACCGTCTGCAAAGACATGCTCAGGCCAGCTTGGTTTATGAGAGGGAAAATGCAAGCGTAGACTTTTATAATTATTAAACTCTTTGCCACATGTTTCGCATATATGTGGCGGATGTACGTTCACATGCTGTACCAAACCTTGTTTTCCACTGAAAGAGCTTCCGCAAATATTACAGACAAAAGGCAACCCACTATGATGTTTCCTCTTATGTTTATTCAAGATGTGTTTTGCCCAAAACCTTCTTCCGCATATTTCACAAGGAACATTTGGTTTTGATGTATGTGATTTTACGTGTATGTTATACCATGGTTTTTGGGTGAAACTCTGCCCGCATATTTCACATGTATGAGGCTTTACACCGGTGTGTCGTACCATATGATACTCCAGATGTGATTTTTGATCGTAATCCTTGCCACACACAGAGCAATAATGTATTTTTCGACCTCTTATGTGGAACTCCAAATGCCTTTCCAACTTAGCTGATGAGTCAAATCCTCTCCCACATATGTTACAAATTTCAGTTTTATCAGAAATTTCTTTTTCGATAATATAATCAATAATATCATTCAAGAGACTGCGAGCTATCTTAAAATAATTCTCATTAGTATAGGAATCCTTATCAATAATGAGATCATGATTACTTTGCAATATTCCTCCTTTATCAGTAGTTAATACCCTAACACTCAGACGATTGTCTTCATTACAATCAGATGATTTCTGCCTGTTATCAGTTACATGAGCGTTGTCAATAAAGTTGGACAATTTCTGTCCATTACCTTCGATTAACTTCTTATTTTGCTCTTTATCAGTAATTAAGCGATTATCACTTTGATGGGCGTTATCAATAGATCCCTGTTGAAGATAAACAGATAATTCATCTTTTGATAAGAACCCTGAGTTGAGATCAGTTACAAAAACAGCAGTGGGTTCATTCTGCTCCTGCATTGCTATGACGGAGGATTCTTCAGAATCAAATTCATTATTGTCTTCTTCAAAGATAACAGTGCTGTTTATATCAGTTCTAGCAGTATCTTGGGTATGGCTCGTAAATTCTCCTGTGTCTTCACATGGCATATATTTATCACTATTATCAGCATTGCAAATATCTTCGACTGCAGTGTTTCCAGAAATACTTGTAATTTTCTCTCTATTTATCTCCTCAGATAAAAGGCTTGCTTCATCTATTATGTCTTCATCAAGACAAATTTCAACATAAGTTAAATCTTTAAGCACAGTTTCCATATTCTAAAGTTATAAAAAAACAAAGATAATAAGTTGACAGTGGTTCTCAACCTTTTATGGCTTGTGGCCCTCTTCTGAAGGCTTTTGGCACTCATGGCCCCCGTTTATCATTTCTGTGGTCAATTCCAAATTTCATTATGCTCAAACAGTGAAAACACCCCACGAAATAACCTTATCAAGCAATGAAACTAAGAAGAAAGGGGAGTGGTCTTGTAGAGACAATAGAAAAATCAGGGGCCTCTTAATGGACCACAGATCAATGGTTGAGAACCAGCCAATCTGGCACAACATAGTCCAATATAAGCAAATGAGTATTTAATAAGATAACTAGGGATAGATTCAGATATTCATTTTTTCGTCATGCAAAAACAATGCGCGATATGAAAAAAGAATAAATAATATAATGTAACAAAATGACAAACAGATATCGGCTTGGTGCAGTTGACGTGGAAAGACTCACAGAGTCATCTAGTCAGCGACAGCTTGCAGCTGAGTTGAAGTAACAAATGTGAATATGGAGTTTGAAGGAGCCATAAGATGTTACATAGACCACAATGTGACACCAAGGATCCCAGCAATTATCTCATACAGGGTATTCGGATTCAACAGTGATAATTTTCATGAGGGAGGTAAACCAGGAATAGGATTTACATATGTGTCCTGGGGGAGAGGAAAGCCGATAGGACGGCTTAACCGTATGGTGAACCATGGCCTCTCGTCCGGTTACCGTTCCAAGTGGGGTATGGGATTAGTTGTTTGTTTGTTTTTGGAAGCATGGTCTTGATGGTGGGGGAAGCCGTAACAATCGGCGGTGAGGAGTCCAGCAATCCTCTCGCACGTAACCATCCCTGCATGGGATTCAAACTCACGCAGAGTAATCAGAGGTGGGTGGAAGCGTATTCCTAAAGCTTAGCACGATGAGCCACACCGCCGCGTCAGATATGGAATTGAAAGAAGTCGTAATGGGTCAGTTACATGAACCATTCTGTGGCGCAGAGGAGTCTGGTAATTCTATTGCCTCATGGTATCCAGGATATACAGGGTGTCCATAAAGTCTATTTACAATTTAGCTATAAATGTCAGTTCTAATAAATCTTGACCAGGTTTGTTTTTTTAATCAGTAATAGTTCAAGTATTTTTACTTCATTTAAGGGCCAAAACAATATATGGTATCGATAAATTCCCTTCGCAATTTGAAGACTTCATGTTTGTGGACACCCTATAGAACAAAAACTATTTTATTGACAGAGGTAAACTGTGGCTATGAGGAATTTGAGAAATGTAGTTTTCTAGTAGAAAATTTGTTTGCGTTTTTTTTTCAAATTCACAACCATGGTGAACATGCCATTGTGCCCATGCCTTAGCATCAGCAAATATAAAAGTACACCAGGACAAGTGAAAATCATGATAACACTTGGCGATGTCGCACATCGTGCTATACCCTGCGTTGGTTCATAGGCTCAATTCCCATGTGAGAATAGTCATGTGCAAGAGGATTGCTGGACTCCTCATCGTCGTAGGGTGGTTCACATAAAACCGGCACACTCTCTTCAACATTAAATTTATTTCCGAACTAGAAAATCAGCCAAATAGGGTGATTTCGGAAAAAACTAAAAATGCAATAACTATGAGATAGAAAATTTATTTTGAACTGGGCTATAAAAAATGACAACCCACAAAAGGGAAAACTTTATGGACAATCAATGGCGTCAGGTGGTGGGAATGGGAGATGTGTAACTTTCTAAAATGTGGCGAAGTTTTCACAAAAATCATTAATTTTTTATGTAATATGTATATAGACTGTCTGTCTGACCTCAGATATTCAATATATAACAAATTTGCGGTGTACTTATTGGCTATCAGTATTGTCAGTCCTCCTTTATACGAAACCCTTCTTGTGACCAATTTCAATACAAATAGTCATACAAAATGTTTTATCAGCAAGTGAATAACAGCAGAGACACAACCAGATTGATAAGGATCATACTCTGAGGGGAAAAACGGCAAATTATATGAAATTCATATTTTAAAAAATATTTTTAATAAAAGTTTTCAGACACAAACTCTCATTTGTTTACTGTGAGCATGCCCTTTATTAAACAAAGAAATTTTTATTCCAATAGTTTATTCAAAAAATGCCAGTTATGTAGACTCACTAACTTATGGCTGTTCGGAGGGAAAAGGAAAGTCATATGGCTTAATCATATGGCAAACCACAGCCCCGGTATAGGAATAACTAACGCTTAGCTCGTCCGGTTACCAGTTCATGTCGGGCATGGTGATAATAATGCCCATGAGATTCTAAGCGTAGGATGTTCAGAGGTTCGATGGCAACGTATTCCTGACGCTGAGCACGACATGGCGGTCAACTGTCCATTTTTTATGAGTGCTCATCACCCATAGTCCTGATTCTATATGGATCAGATTCCCCCTCTCTGATTGTCATTATGTTCGCCATCTTTGGAACCTTAACTGGTTCTTTAGTTTTTTTCGACATGTTATGCATAGCGAATTTCACTATCGATTCAGCATCCAAAATTGCTATTGTTCGAGTTTGTTCAGAAGGGAGAGGCAATGAATTCACTTCAGGAGAGAACACTATTTTATGCCCGATAAATTTCATAGAGCCGAGATTGAATTCCTCAGCTTCCCCTATTGTGAATGTAGATGTTTGTGAGTTCCCTTTTTGTCCTACGGAAATACAATTTCCCGGCATTACACCTCCATTACTTGGTGCTGTGCTACCAATTCCAGATGCTCCATCCATCTCCTTTTTTCTACATTGTAATGTAGAAGAAGTTTGCTGAGCAAATTCAGAATCATTACTAGGTACAGCATTTTCAGTTTTTACATTTTTATGGAGTTTTAGATGTATAGCCAAGCGATGTTTCCAATAATATCCTTTTCCGCAAATGTTGCAACCAAAGCGCTTTATTCCTGTATGATATATTTGATGATTTTCTAACGACCTTTTATAATGGAAACTTTTCCAGCATGATTCACATTTATATGGTCTTTCTAAGTGTGCAATCATATGCTTCTTTAAATAGCTATCCCGCACGAATCCAGCACCACAAACTTGACACTTATGAACTTTTGGAGCATGAGCTTGAGAATGGAAAGTAAAGGCTTGTCTTCGTCGAAATGTTCTTTTACAAACTTCGCAACGAAAACCTTTTACACCGTCCGCAAAGACATGCTCAGGCCAACTTGGTTTATGAGAATCTTTATGCAAGCGAAGACTTTTATAATTGTCAAACTCCTTGCCACATGTTCCACATATATGTGGAGGATGTAGGCTCACATGGTGTAGCAAACCTTGTTTTCCACTAAAAGAACTTCCGCAAATGTTACAAACAAAGGGCAACCCCATATGTCGTTTCCTTGTATGTAAATTCAAGATGTATTTTGTCCAAAACTTTTTTCCGCATATCTCGCAAGGAACATTTGGTTGAGATGTGTGAGATTTTATATGCATGTTTAACGACGATTTTTGAGCGAAAGTCTTTCCGCATATTTCACATGAATACGCCTTTACACCGGTGTGTAGCACCATATGATACTCCAGATGCGATTTTTGACCAAAATCTTTGCCACACACAGAGCAATAAAGTATTTTTCGGCCTTTATAGTGAAACTTCAAATGTCTTTCCAATTTGGCTAATGTGCCGAATCTTCTCTCACATATGTTACAACTTTCAGTTTTATCAGAAACTTCTTTTTCGATAATATAATCAATAACGTCATTCAAGAAACTGCGAGCTATCTCAAAATAATTCTCATTAGTATGGGAATCCTTATCAACAATGAGATCTTTATCACTGAGAGAAGTGCTATCTTTGGAGTTTGGTAACATTCCTTCTTTACCAGTAGGTAATTCCTTATCACTCAGATAGGTGCCTACATTACAATTAGACGATTTCCGCCTGTTATCGAATGGATGAGCGTTATCAATACTGGTGGGCAATTTCGATCCATTCTTATCACCTAGTCGTGGACGGGTGTTATTATTGTGACCATCATCAGTCATTAAGCCATTATCACTTAGATAGGTATTATCAATACCGCTGGGCAATTCTTGTTGAAGATAGTCAGATAATTCATCTTTTGATAAGAACCCCGAGTTGGAATCAGTTACAAAAACAGCAGTGGGTTCATTCTGCTCCTGCATTGCTATGACGGAGGATTCTTCAGAATCAAATTCATGATCGTCTTCTCCAAAGATAACAGTGCTGTTTATATCAGTTCTAGCAGTATCTTGGATATGGCTCGTAAATTCTCCTGCGTCTTCACATGGCATATATTCATCACTATTATCAACATTGCAAATATCTTCTACTGTAGTGTTGCCAGAAATACTTGTAATTTTCTCTCTATTTATCTCCTCAGATAAAAGGCTTGCTTCATATATTATGTCTTCATCAAGACAGATTTCAACATAAGTTAAATCTCTAGGTACAGATCCCATATTCTAAAGTTATAAAAAAAACAAGGATAATAAGTTGGCAGTGGGTTCTCAACATTTTATGGCTTTTGGCCTCATGGCCCCCCTGTTTATCAATTTCATTATGCTCAAACAGTGAAAACGCCCCACGAAATAACCATATTAAGCAATGAAACTCAGTAGGAAGGAGAGTTATCTTGTAGAGAGAATGGGCCTTGTGGGCCTCTTGATGGACTACAATTCCCTGGTTGAGAACCACTGAGCTAGAATAACTCAGAAAATCTGGCATGATATACTTCAGATATACATTTTCGCCATGCAAAAACAATGCGCGATATGAAGAATGAATAAATAATATATTGTAAATAAATGACAAACAGATATCGGCTTGTTGCAGTTGACGCGAAAAGACTCACAGAGTCATCTAGTCAGAGACACTTTGCAACTGAGATTAAGCAGCAAATGTGAATATGAAGTGTGAAGAAGCCATAAGACGTTACATAAACCACAATGTGACACTAAGGATCCCAGCAATCCTCTCCTACAGGGTATTCAGATTCAACATTGATAATTTTCATGAGGGAGGTAAACCAGGAATAGGATTTACATATGTGTCCTGGGGAAGAGGAAGGCCGATAAGACGGCTTAACCATATGGTGAACCATGGCCTCTCGTCCGGTTACCGTTCCAAGTCGGGTATGGGATTAGTTAGTTATTTGTTTTTAGAAGCATGGACTTGATGGTGGAGGAAGCCGTAACCGACCATCGGTTACATTAACCGCGCAATCGGCGGTGAGGAGTCCACCAATCCCCTCGCACGTAACTATCCCTGCATGGGATTCAAACTCACGCAGAGTAATCAGAGGTGGGGTGGCAGCGTATTCCTAAAGCTTGGCACGATGAGCCACACCGCCGTGTCAGATATGGAATTGAAAGAAGCCGTAATCAGTCAGTTACATGAACCATTCTGTGGCGCAGAGGAGTCTGGTAATTCTATTGCCTCATGGTATCCAGGATATACAGGGTGTCCATAAAGTCTATTTACAATTTAGCTATAAATGTCAGTTCTAATAAATCTTGACCAGGTTTGTTGTTTTTTTAATCAGTAATAGTTCAAGTATTTTTACTTCATTTAAGGGCCAAAACAATATATGGTATCGATAAATTCCCTTCGCAATTTGAAGACTTCATGTTTGTGGACACCCTATAGAACAAAAACTATTTTATTGACAGAGGTAAACTGTGGCTATGAGGAATTTGAGAAATGTAGTTTTCTAGTAGAAAATTTGTTTGCGTTTTTTTTCAAATTCACAACCATGGGGTGAACATGCCATTGTGCCCATGCCTTAGCATCAGCAAATATAAAAGTACACCAGGACAAGTGAAAATCATGATAACACTCGGCGATGTCGCACATCGTGCTATACCCTGCGTTGGTTCGTAGGCTCAATTCCCATGTGAGAATAGTCATGTGCAAGAGGATTGCTGGACTCCTCATCGTCGTAGGGTGGTTCACATAAAACCGGCACACTCTCTTCAACATTAAATTTATTTCCGAACTAGAAAATCAGCCAAATAGGGTGATTTCGAAAAAAAACTAAAAACGCAATAACTATAAGATAGAAAATTTATTTTGAACTAGGCTATGAAAAATGACAACACACAAAAGGGAAAACTTTATGGACAATCAATGGCGTCAGGTGGTGGGAATGGGAGATGTGTAACTTTCTGAAATGTGGCGAAGTTTTCACAAAAATCCATAATTTTTTATGTAATATGTATATAGACTGTCTGACCTCAGATATTCAATATATAACAAATTTGCGGTGTACTTGTTGGCTATCAGTATTGTCAGTCCTCCTTTATACGAAACCCTTCTTGTGACCAATTTCAACACAAATAGTCAAACAAAATGTTTTATCAGCAAGTGAATAACAGCAGAGACACAACCAGATTGATAAGGATCATACTTTGAGGGGAAAAACGGCAAATTATATGAAATTCATATTTTAAAAAATATTTTTAAGAAAAGTTTTCAGACACAAACTCTCATTCGTTTACTGTGAGCATGCCCTTTATTAAACAAAAAATTTTTTTATTCCAATAGTTTATTCAAAAAATGCCAGTTATGTAGACTCACTAACTTATGGCTGTTCGGAGAGAAAAGGAAATTCGATAAGATGGCTTAATCATATGGCAAACCACGGCCCCGGTATAGGAATAGAATAACTAACGCTTAACTCGTCCGGTTACCAGTTCATGTCGGGCATGGTGATAATAATGCCCATGAGATTCTAAGCGTAGGATGTTCAGAGGTTCGATGGCAACGTATTCCTGACGCTCAGCACGACATGGCGGTCAACTGTCCATTTTTTATGAGTGCTCATCACCCATAGTCCTGATCTTATAGGGATCAGTATCCCCCTCTTTTATCGTCATTATGTTCGCCATCTTTGGAACCTTAACTGGTTCTTTAGTTTTTTTCGACATGTTATGCATGGCGAATTTCACTATCGATTCAGCATCCAAAATTGCTATTGCTCGAGTTTGTTCAGAAGGGAGAGACAATGAATTCACTTCAGGAGAGAATACTATTTTATGCCCGGTAAATTTCACAGAACCAAGATTGAATTCCTCAGCTTCCCCTATTGTGAATGTAATTGTTTGTGAGTTCCCTTTTTGTCCTACGGAAATACAATTTCCTAACATTACACCTCCATTACTTGGTGCTGTGCTACCAATTCCAGATGCTCCATCCATCTCCTTTTTTCTACATTGTAATGTAGAAGAAGTTTGCTGAGCAAATTCAGAATCATTACTAGGTACAGCATTTTCAGTTTTTACATTTTTATGAAGTTTTAGATGTATAGCCAAGCGATGTTTCCAATAATATCCTTTTCCGCAAATGTTGCAATCAAAGCGCTTTATTCCTGTATGATATATTTGATGATTTTCTAACGACCTTATATGATGGAAACTTTTCCAGCATGATTCACATTTATACGGTCTTTCTAAGTGTGCAATCATATGCTTCTTTAAATAGCTATCCCGCACGAATCCAGCACCACAAACTTGACACTTATGAACTTTTGGAGCATGAGCTTGAGAATGGAAAGTAAAGTCTTGTCTTCGTCGAAATGTTCTTCTACAAACTTCGCAACGAAAACCTTTTACACCGTCCGCAAAGACATGCTCAGGCCAACTTGGTTTATGAGAATCTTTATGCAAGCGAAGACTTTTATAATTGTCAAACTCCTTGCCACATGTTTCACATATATGTGGAGGATGTAGGCTCACATGGTGTAGCAAACCTTGTTTTCCACTAAAAGAACTTCCGCAAATGTTACAAACAAAGGGCAACCCCATATGTCGTTTCCTCGTATGTAAATTTAAGATGTATTTTGTCCAAAACTTTTTTCCGCATATCTCGCAAGGAACATTTGGTTGAGATGTGTGAGATTTTATATGCATGTTTAACGACGATTTTTGAGTGAAAGTCTTTCCGCATATTTCACATGAATACGCCTTTACACCGGTGTGTAGCACCATATGATACTCCAGATGCGATTTTTGACCAAAATCTTTGCCACACACAGAGCAATAAAGTATTTTTCGGCCTTTATAGTGAAACTTCAAATGTCTTTCCAATTTGGCTAATGTGCCGAATCTCCTCTCACATATGTTACAACTTTCAGTTTTATCAGAAACTTCTTTTTCGATAATATAATCAATAACGTCATTCAAGAAACTGCGAGCTATCTCAAAATAATTCTCATTAGTATGGGAATCCTTATCAACAATGAGATCTTTATCACTTAGAGAAGTGCTATCTTTGGAGTTGGGTAACATTCCTTCTTTATCAGTAGTTAATTCCTCATCACTCAGATAGGTGCCTACATTACAATTAGACGATTTCCGCCTGTTATCGAATGGATGAGCGTTATCAATACTGGTGGGCAATTTCGATCCATTCTTATCACCTAGTCGTGGACGGGTGTTATTATTGTTATTATTGTGCCCATCATCAGTCATTAAGCCATTATCACTTAGATAGGCATTATCAATACCGCTGGGCAATTCCTGTTGAAGATAGTCAGATAATTCATCTTTTGATAAGAACCCTGAGTTGGAATCAGTTACAAAAACAGCAGTGGGTTCATTCTGCTCCTGCATTGTTATGACGGAGGATTCTTTAGAATCAAATTCATGATTGTCTTCTCCAAAGATAACAGTGCTGTTTATATCAGTTCTAGCAGTATGTTGGTTATGGCTCGTAAATTCTCCTGTGTCTTCACATGGCACATATTTATCACTATTATCAGCATTGCAAATATCTTCTACTGTAGTGTTGCCAGAAATACTTGTAATTTCCTCTCTATTTATCTCCTCAGATAAAAGGCTTGCTTCCTATATTATGTCTTCATCAAGACAAATTTCAACATAAGTTAAATCTTTAAGCACAGTTTCCATATTCTAAAGTTATAAAAAAACAAAGATAATAAGTTGACAGTGGTTCTCAACCTTTTATGGCTTGTGGCCCTCTTCTGAAGGCTTTTGGCACTCATGGCCCCCGTTTATCATTTCTGTGGTCAATTTCAAATTTCATTATGCTCAAACAGTGAAAACACCCCACGAAATAACGTTATCAAGCAATGAAACTAAGAAGAAAGGGGAGTTGTCTTGTAGAGACAATAGAAAAATCAGGGGCCTCTTGATGGACCACAGATCACTGGTTGAGAACCACTGAGCTAAAATAACTCAGACAATCTGGCACAACATAGTTCAATATAAGCAAATGAGTATTTAATAAGATAACCAGGGATAGATTCAGATATTTATTTTTTCGTCATGCAAAAACAATGCGCGATATGAAAAATGAATAAATAATATAATGTAACAAAATGACAACCAGATATCGGCTTGGTGCAGTTGACGCGAAAAGACTCACAGAGTCATCTAGTCAGCGACAGCTTGCAGCTGAGTTGAAGTAACAAATGTGGATATGGAGTTTGAAGAAGCCATAAGATGTTACATAAACCACAATGTGACACTAAGGATCCCAGCAATTCTCTCATACAGGGTATTCGGATTCAACATTGATAATTTTCATGAGGGAGGTAAACCACGGATAGGATTTACATATGTGTACTGGGGGAGAGGAAAGCCGATAAGATGGCTTAACCATATGGTGAACCATGGCCTCTCCTCCGGTTACCGTTCCAAGTAGGGTATGGGATTAGTTATTTGATTTTGGAAGCATGGACTTGATGGTGGAGGAAGCCGTAACCGACCATCGGTTACATTAACCACGCAATCGGCGGTGAGGAGTCCAGCAATCCTCTCACACGTAACCATCCCTGCATGGGATTCAAACCCACGCAGGGTAATCAGAGGTGGGGCGGAAGCGTATTCCTAAAGCTTAGCACGATGAGCCACACCGCCGCGTCAGATATGGAATTGAAAGAAGTCGTAATCAGTCAGTTACATGAACCACCCTGTGGCGCAGAGAAGTCTGATAATTCTATTGCCTCATGGTATCCAGATATACAGGGTGTCCATAAAGTCTATTTACAATTTAGCTATAAATGTCAGTTCTAATAAACTCTCATTCGTTTACTGTGACTGTGAGCATGCCCTTTATCAAACAAAGAAATTTTTATTCCAATAGTTTATTCAAAAAATGCCAGTTATGTAGACTCACTAACTTTTGGCTGTTCGGAGGGAAAAGGAAAGTCGATAAGATGGCTTAATCATATGGCAAACCATGGCCCCGGTATAGGAATAACTAACGCTTAGCTCGTCCGGTTACCAGTTCATGTCGGGCATGGTGATAATAATGCCCATGAGATTCTAAGCGTAGGATATTCAGAGGTTCGATGGCAACGTATTCCTGACGCTCAGCACGACATGGCGGTCAACTGTCCATTTTTTATGAGTGCTCATCACCCATAGTCCTGATCTTATAGGGATCAGAATCCCCCTCTTTTATCGTCATTATGTTCGCCATCTTTGGAACCTTAACTGGTTCTTTAGTTTTTTTCGACATGTTATGCATAGCGAATTTCACTATCGATTCAGCATCCAAAATTGCTATTGTTCGAGTTTGTTCAGAAGGGACAGACAATGAATTCACTTCAGGAGAGAATACTATTTTATGCCCGATAAATTTCATAGAGCCGAGATTGAATTCCTCAGCTTCCCCTATTGTGAATGTAGATGTTTGTGAGTTCCCTTTTTGTCCTACGGAAATACAATTTCCCAACATTACACCTTCATTACTTGGTGCTGTGCTACCAATTCCAGATGCTCCATCCATCTCCTTTTTTCTACATTGTAATGTAGAAGAAGTTTGCTGAGCAAATTCAGAATCATTACTAGGTACAGCATTTTCAGTTTTTACATTTTTATGAAGTTTTAGATGTATAGCCAAGCGATGTTTCCAATAATATCCTTTTCCGCAAATGTTGCAACCAAAGCGCTTTATTCCTGTATGATATATTTGATGATTTTCTAACGACCTTTTATGATGGAAACTTTTCCAGCATGATTCACATTTATACGGTCTTTCTAAGTGTGCAATCATATGCTTCTTTAAATAGCTATCCCGCACGAATCCAGCACCACAAACTTGACACTTATGAACTTTTGGAGCATGAGCTTGAGAATGGAAAGTAAAGTCTTGTCTTCGTCGAAATGTTCTTCTACAAACTTCGCAACGAAAACCTTTTACACCGTCCGCAAAGACATGCTCAGGCCAACTTGGTTTATGAGAATCTTTGTGCAAGCGAAGACTTTTATAATTGTCAAACTCCTTGCCACATGTTTCACATATATGTGGAGGATGTAGGCTCACATGGTGTAGCAAACCTTGTTTTCCACTAAAAGAACTTCCGCAAATGTTACAAACAAAGGGCAACCCCATATGTCGTTTCCTCGTATGTAAATTTAAGATGTATTTTGTCCAAAACTTTTTTCCGCATATCTCGCAAGGAACATTTGGTTGAGATGTGTGAGATTTTATATGCATGTTTAACGACGATTTTTGAGTGAAAGTCTTTCTGCATATTTCACATGAATACGCCTTTACACCAGTGTGTAGCACCATATGATACTCCAGATGCGATTTTTGACCAAAATCTTTGCCACACACAGAGCAATAAAGTATTTTTCGGCCTTTATAGTGAAACTTCAAATGTCTTTCCAATTTGGCTAATGTGCTGAATCTCCTCTCACATATGTTACAACTTTCAGTTTTATCAGAAACTTCTTTTTCGATAATATAATCAATAACATCATTCAAGAAACTGCGAGCTATCTCAAAATAATTCTCATTAGTATGGGAATCCTTATCAACAATGAAATCTTTATCACATAGAGAAGTGCTATCTTTGGAGTTTGGTAACATTCCTTCTTTATCAGTAGTTAATTCCTTATCACTCAGATAGGTGCCTACATTACAATTAGACGATTTCCGCCTGTTATCGAATGGATGAGCGTTATCAATACTGGTGGGCAATTTCGATCCATTCTTATCACCTAGTCGTGGACGGGTGTTATTATTGTTATTATTGTGCCCATCATCAGTCATTAAGCCATTATCACTTAAATAGGCATTATCAATACCGCTGGGCAATTCCTGTTGAAGATAGTCAGATAATTCATCTTTTGATAAGAACCCCGAGTTGGAATCAGTTACAAAAACAGCAGTGGGTTCATTCTGCTCCTGCATTGCTATGACGGAGGATTCTTCAGAATCAAATTCATGATTGTCTTCTTCAAAGATAACAGTGCTGTTTATATCAGTTCTAGCAGTATCTTGGGTATGGCTCGTAAATTCTCCTGTGTCTTCACATGGCGTATATTCATCACTATTATCAACATTGCAAATATCTTCTACTGTAGTGTTGCCAGAAATACTTGTAATTTCCTCTCTATTTATCTCCTCAGATAAAAGGCTTGCTTCATATATTATGTCTTCATCAAGACAGATTTCAACATAAGTTAAATCTCTAGGTACAGATCCCATATTCTGAAGTTATAAAAAAAAACAAGGGTAATAAGTTGGCAGTGGGTTCTCAACATTTTATGGCTTTTGGCCTCATGGCCCCCCTGTTTATCAATTTCATTATGCTCAAACAGTGAAAACGCCCCACGAAATAACCATATTAAGCAATGAAACTCAGTAGGAAGGAGAGTTATCTTGTAGAGAGAATGGGCCTTGTGGGCCTCTTGATGGACTACAATTCCCTGGTTGAGAACCACTGAGCTAGAATAACTCAGAAAATCTGGCATGATATACTTCAGATATATATTTTCGCCATGCAAAAACAATGCGCGATATGAAGAATGAATAAATAATATATTGTAAATAAATGACAAACAGATATCGGCTTGTTGCAGTTGACGCGAAAAGACTCACAGAGTCATCTAGTCTGAGACACTTTGCAACTGAGATTAAGCAGCAAATGTGAATATGAAGTTTGAAGAAGCCATAAGACGTTACATAAACCACAATGTGACACTAAGGATCCCAGCAATCCTCTCATACAGGGTATTCAGATTCAACATTGATAATTTTTATGAGGGAGGTAAACCAGGAATAGGATTTACATATGTGTCCTGGGGAGAGGAAAGCCGATAAGACGGCTTAACCATATGGCGAACCATGGCCTCTCGTCCAGTTTCCATTCCAACTCGGGTATGGGATTAGTTAGGTATTTGTTTTTGGAAGCATGGCCTTGATGGTGGAGGAAGCCGTAACCGGCCAGCGGTTACATTAACCACGCAAACGGCGGTGAGGAGTCCACCAAGCCTCTTGCACGCAACCATCCCTACATGGGATTCAAACCCACGCAGGGTAATCAGAGGTGCGGTGGCAGCATATTCCTAACGCTTAGCACGATGAGCCACACCGCCGCGTCAGATATGGAATTGAAAGAAGTCGTAATGGGTCAGTTACATGAACCATTCTGTGGCGCAGAGGAGTCTGGTAATTCTATTGCCTCATGGTATCCAGGATATACAGGGTGTTCATAAAGTCTATTTACAATTTCACTATGAAGTCAGTTCTAATAAATCTTGACCATGTTTTTTTTAATCAGTAATAGTTAAGTATTTTTACTTCATTTAAGGGCCAAAACAAAATATTGTATCGATAAATTCCCTTCGCAATTTGTAAAAAATTAAGACTATGTTTATGGACACCCTATAGAAAAAAAAACATTTTCCAAAAACCAAGAGGTCGCAGTCATATTTTTCTTATTACAAAGTCTGGAGGTATTTGTGAATTTTTTTAAATTCACAAACCTGAGGTGAACATTCCATTGCTCCCTTCTTCAGCATCAGCAAATAATAAAGTATACCAAGGCAAGTGAAAATCATGTTAATGCTCGGCGATGCCGCACATGATGCTATATCCTGCGTTGGTTCGCAGGTTCGATTCCCATGTGGAAATAGTCATGTGCAAGAAGATTTCTGGACTTCTTGCCGTTGTAGTGTGATTCACATAAAACCGGCACACTCTCTTGAACAATAAATTTATTTCTGAACTAAAAAATCAGTCTAATAGGGTGATTTAAAAAAAAAAACTAAAAACGCAATAACCATAAGATAGAAAATTTATGACAACACACAAAAGAAAATTCACGAGAGTTGTGTTTGAACATGACAACTTTGTGGACAATCAATGGCGTTAGGCGGTGGGAATGGGAGAGTGTGTAACTTTCTAAAATGTGGCGAATTTCGCACAAAAATCATTACTTTTATATGTAATATGTGTATTGACTGTCTGACCTCAGATATCCAATGAAAATAAATTTGCGTTGTGTTATTGGCTACCAGTATTGTCAGTCCTCCTACGAAACCCTTCTTGTGACCAATTTCAATACAAATAGTCCAACAAAATGTTTCATCAGCAAGTGAATAACAGCAGAGACACAACCAGATTGATAAGGATCATACTTTGAAAGAAAAAACGGCAAATTCTACAAAAAAGGAATTTGATTACCGTATAATATATGAAATTCATATTTTAAAAAAATGTTATTGAGAAAAGTTTTCAGACACAAACTCTAATTCGTTTACTGTGAGCATGCCTTTTATTAAACAAATAAATTTTTATTCCGATAGTTTATTCAAAGAATGCCAGTTATGTAGAAATTCTACCTTTTGGATGTTCGTTTTATAGTAATGACTTGAAATGCTGAAGTCTCCCATCCATATTCAAATTGGCAGATTCAATAGCTCTCTGCATTTCTGTGGTTGCCTGAATGCATGCAACTTTATTAATCTCTGGACATCATCAAAAATAGGGAGGGAAAAGGAAAGTCGGTCAGATGGCTTAATCATATGGCAAACCTCAACTGGTTACCAGCCCATATCCGATATGGGAATAACTAAAGCCTAGCTTGTTCGGTTACCCGTCTATGGTGGCCCACCGTTGTCATGCGTAAAATTGAAAAAAAAAATGAAAAATAAAATAAAAAAATAGTTCTGAAAAAACATAAATAAAATAAAATGTAAAAAAAAAAAAATTAAAAATAAAAACGAAAATAAAATAAAAACGGAATAAAAAAAGGTAAAAAAAAAAAAAAAAAAAAAAGTGAATAAAAAGAAAATATAAACGGTTGACAACGATGGGCCGCCTCGTGGCCCATCGTTGTCACGTGTATTTATTTTGAGAAAATTTCGGACAGTAGTGGCTAGAGCCGACGGACGAGTCTAACTAGGCTACTTTATGCACACAGTCCTTTTTCTATTAATTCAAGTCTGTGCTTTGTGAATTATTCACATTTTAGTTTTGCAGTTATTACAAATTACGATTACTATACAGGTACTTAATATAATGACTGAAAAGAGGTCTTGCATGGGTACAATTGCGGTCAGACGGTACCAGTATCGCAAGAGTGTCTCGCTAGACAACTGAGCATCTGAGCAGCATTCTCCACTTCAATTACCTTCTACACGTAAAAACAAATTTCCCGAATTTTCGTACTCAATTCTATATTCTCTTATCAACATAATAAATGTATTACTTCTAGTCAAACTTGTAGCATGGAGAATTTATAGAACATTTTCGTTCTGAATTTATTGAATATTGCTCAAGAAAATCAGTGAGTTAGAAACCCAGTTTGTGCGCGTAGGATTATGCATGACAACGTTGGTCTCAAGCAGTAGCAAATTTTCTCAAAATGAAATCGTGTGACAACGATGGGCCGCTCAACCTTTTTTTTTTGCATTTTATTTTTTTCTCATTTTATTTTAATGTTTTTTCACAACAATTTTTTTATTTTATTTTTCAATTTTACGCGTGACAACGATGGGCCACCATACCCGTCCATGTGGGGTATGGAAATAGTTACGCCCCATGAGACTCTAACCAGCATAGAGTAATCAGAGGTACCATGTCAAGAGTATTCCTAAAGCTTAGCATGGTGTGGCGATCAACTGCCCCTTATTATGAGTGCTCATCACCTATAGTCCTGATCTTATATGGATAAGATTCCCCCTCTCTGATTGTCATTATGTTAGTCATCTTTGGTACCTTAACTGGTTCGTTACTTTTTTTCGAGAAATTATGCATCGCAAATGTGAGTATCGATTTAGCATCTAAGATTGCAATTGCTTGAGTTTGTTCAGAAGGGAGAGACAATGAATTCACTTCAGGAGAGAATATTATTTTATGCCCGGTAAATTTCACAGAGCCGAGATTGAATTCCTCAGCTTCCCCTATTGTGAATGTTGATGTTTGTGAGTTCCCTTTTTGTCCTACGGAAATACAATTTCCCAACATTACACCTCCATTACTTGGTGCTGTGCTACCAATTCCAGATGCTTCATCTGTCTTCTTTCTTCCACATTGTAATGTAGAAGAAGTTTGCTGAGTGAATTCAAAATCATTACTAGGTACAGCATTTTCAGTTATCACATTTTTATGATGTTTTAGATGTATAGCCAAGCGGTGTTTAAAATAATATCGTCTTCCGCAAATGTGGCAACCCAAGCGCTTAAATCCTGTATGATATTTTTGATGATTTTCTAACGACCATTCATAATGAAAACATTTCCCACATAATTTACATTTATATGGTCTGTTCGAGTGTGCAATCATATGCTTCTTTAAAAAGCTATAGCGAACATAACCAGCCCCGCAAACTTGACATTTATGAACTCTTGGAGCATGAGCTTGCGAATGGAAAGTCAGGTCTTGTCGTCGACGAAATGTTCTTTTACAAACTTTGCATAAAAAAGTGTTCGCATCGTCCCCAAAGACATGCTCAGGGCAGCTCGGTTTATGAGAAGGAAAATGCAAGCGAAGACTTTTATAATTGTCAAACTTCTTGCCACATATTTCACATATATGTGGCGGATGCTGGTTCACATGTCTTACCAAACTTTTTTTCTGACTAAAAGAGCTTCCGCAAATGTTACAAACAAAAGGCTTCCCCATATGTCGTTTCTTCCTATGCGTATTTAAGATGTGTTTTGTCCAAAACTTTTTTCCGCATATCTCACAAGGAACATTTGGTTGAGATGTGTGAGATTTTATGTGCATGTTTAATGACGATTTATGAGTGAAAGTCTTCCCGCATATTTCACATGTATAGGGCTTTACACTGGTGTGAAACACCATAGTATGATACTCCAGATGCGATTTTTGATCAAAATCCTTGCCACACACATGGCAATATAGTACTTTTCGACCTTTTTTGTGGAACTTTAAATGCCTTTCCAATTTATCTGACGAGTCGAACATCCTCTCACATATGTTACAAATTTCAGTTTTATCAGAAATATCTTTTTTGATGATATAATCAATAATATCATTCAAAAGACTGCGAGCTATCTCTGAATAATTTTCATCAGTAATGAAATCCTTATTAATAATGAGATCTTCATCACTTAAAGAAGTAGCATTTAAAGAAGTGTTATCAGTAGCATTTGTCGGTATTCTTTCTCTATCAGTAGTTAACTCCTTATCACTCAGATGGGTGCCTTCATTACAATCAGACGATTTCTGCCTGTTATCAGTTAGATAAGCCTTATCAATACTGGTGAGCAATTTCGGTTCATTCTTATCACCTAGACAAGTGTTATTAGTTAGCCCCTCATCAGTAATTAGGCCCTTATCAATTTGATAGGCGTTATCTGTACAGTTAGGCAAATCCTCTTGAAGATAGTCAGATAACTCACCATTTGATAAGAACCCTAACTTGGAACCAGTTAGAAAATCAGCATTAAATTCATTCTGCTCCTGTACCGCCATGACAGAATCAAATTCATGATTGTCTTTTTCATAGACAACAGTACTGTTCATATCAGCTCTAACAGTATCTTGGTTATGGCTCGTAAATTCTCCCGTGTCTTCACATAGCATATATTTATCATTGATATCAGCATTGCCATTATCTTTGATTGTAGTGTTGCCAGAAATATTTGTAATTTTGTCTCTATCAGATGCTCTACAGTCATTGGTCGATAAAGAAAAACCTCCAGATAAATGACTTGCTTCATATATTATGTCTTCATCTATACAGATTTCAACATAAGTGAAATCTTTAGGCACAGTTTCCATATTCTAAAAGTATAAAAAGAAAACAATGATAATAAGTTGGCATTCTTTGTTCAAACAGTCTGAAACGCCGGCGAATATACAAATATACAAAGTAAGAAATAGGATAGATAGAACAGTACTTCTCAACCTTTTAAGGCTCATGGCCCCTTTTCTAGAGGCTTTTAGCACTCATGGCCTCCTTTTATCCTTTCGGTGGTAAACTCCAAATTTCATTATGTTCAAACAATTCATGCTGAACAGAGTGAAAACACCCTGTGAAATAACTTTATCAAGCAATGAAACTAGGAAGAACGGGGAATACTCACGTAAAGGGGAACGAAAAATCAGTTTGCACCTCGGATTGTGGCCCTCTCTATGGGCCACAGGTTGAGAACCACTGAGCTAGAATAACTCAGACAACTTGGCATGACATACTTCAATATAAGAATGTGAATATTTAAAAAGATAAACCAGGGATGTGAAGTTTGAATAAACCATGAAAAGTTACATAAACCACACTGTGACGCCATGATACAGTAAAACCTGTAACTTCGGATTATTTTTCCAATTGTTCATATCCCAACTAAATTCCTTCTCCGCTCTAAGTTGCGGTGACAAAGAGCGGGGATTCTCCATTCGAAGTTAGATATTTAGTGGCGTGGTGACAGATCACAAAAAATAAGGCAAGAAAAATAACATTAATGTAATATATCCCAAATTTGACGTAAAGTGGACAACAAATGGAAAACATATTATTGAAAATATAGTGAAACCATCCAAAGTTACCCAGATCTACAATACGTCAACATAGATAATTTTCATGAGGAAGATAAACCAAATATGTGGAATTGGAAGAAACTGTAATCGGTCAGTTACATCAGGGTTTGCCAAACTGGGGTCTGTAATGACTGCACAGGCAGTCCGCAACGATATAAAAAGAGTTTGAAACATATACATTTTACCGTATACATACACTGTCAAATAGACATTCTCAAACGAGATAAAGTCAAAAATTCAAGCAATCGCAAATCGGTATTGTTACGAAACTTTAACAATGGGAGTGAAAAAGATGTTGTAGAACGATTCTTGCTTTTAGCGTCAAAGTCAAAGGGCTACATCGTCGGTATAATTGATCGTATGGGTTACTGAGTTATCAACAGTCGATAACTTGTACGACTTTGCTAAGGTCATTTGAGCCTGTTACCGTTACTGCAAGGAAGGGGCATGAAACGGAATTTAGTTAAATATGTCGCCACATAGCCATTCTTGAACGAGATAAAATCTTAAGTTCGCGCAATCGCAAGTGTTACGAAACTTCAACAATGGGGGTGAAAAAGATGTTGTAGAAGGATTCTTGTTTTTAGCGTCTGTGAGGTAGACCTTCGTCACAGAGCTACATCGTCGGTAATAATTGATCGTATGGGTTACTGAGTTATCACCAGTCGATAACTTGTACGACTTTGCTAAGGTCATTTGAGCCTGTTACCGTTGTTGCAAAGAAGGGCCATGAAACGAAATTTAGTAAATTGTGTGACACTGTAGTTATATACACAATTAAATTAGGTCAATGTGTTCAAATAGTACGGTATGTATTGAATCAGACTTCCATAAGTTTTATTTCATCAAAGAAAACATTATCCTTTATCGTTGGTCAGGCATTGAAATTGATACGGCATAGAATGAGGGTCCGTCCAAAATAAAATTCACAAACAGTGGTCCGCGGCCCAAAAAGTTTGGAGAACTCTAGTTACATGATTCAACCTGTGACACACAGTATTCAAGTAATTCACTCGCTTTCCAGATATAAATAATTTTCGTAATGGAGGTAAACTGGGAGGATTATAAAGAATTTGAGAAATGCATTTTTCACTGGAAAAAAAATCTATAAAGAGTCTCTTCTCCTAAGTAGAGAGTCTAAATTTTATGCTGATTATTAAAATTATCTTCAGAAACCTAAAAAGCATAACTTTACTAAGTGTTCTTAAAAACAGTCTATTATACGAAGCTGGACTACATCATAGACATCACAGTCAAATTATTTTTTATCACAAAGTCAGGTTATTTGTGAATATTGTTGCGACTCCACAACTCTGGGGTGAACATGCCATTGGGCCCGTGCTTTGGCATCAGCAAGTATTCAAGTATACCAGGGCAAGTGAAAATCATGTTAATTTCTTTTAACAACACTAGTTCATGCCTTTTGCTCAGAACAAGGCCCTGTACAAACAGCCACTGGTATCTAACAATATGTAATAACAATAAAAGGTTCCCGTACATTTGAACCCACGACAATAGCACCTGCATACTATTGCACCTATAGAAATTTTTTTGTTTTGCGGATATTTGAACCCATACTAAGTACTAACCCATGGGTTTTATTTAGCACCCGCATATAGATTGAACCCGCGGATATACACATGGGTTCAAATGTACGGTCACCATAATAAAAATACCATACTATGCAATTCAAGAGTCCCGTAAACTGCTTGTCTGACGAACTTTAAACAAAATGTTAGAGAAATATATTGGTTTTGACGTGTCTTGAATTGCATAGAATTGTATTTTTATTCTTGCTACAGCATCCTTGCATTATACAAATCCACTAGCACTAAGACCAGTTGTGGGATTCTAATTTTTTGTCAGCCGGTTCCATCACACAAATGCCATATTTTTCAGCCGGTTCTGTTACAAAAAGTGAAGTTTTTTTTTAATAATGCCAACCGGTTCGCTGATCTCATAAAATTCCGTGAGACAGTTCTATAGACCCGGTGCGAACCAGCTGAATCCCACTACTGACTAAGACATTAAGGATTAAGAGTTTGTCTCGCGTAACCTCTACTGATGGGAATATGTAAGTAGGAAACAGAATCTTCCCGGTTCAGTATTGCCTACCCAATTTATTACCCCTGGGAGAGGTGTTTGAACCTGAGATGTTCAACTTATAATGCCATTCTAACGCTTTATCCACTTTACGGCATCATCACAGCAATTCGTAACCTGGTGCCACAAATTTGGAACAAATTATTTAAACAACAAACTGAAAAAGATTTAGATAGCTCGCTTTCTAATAAAAAAACAGAACAAATTTTATTTCAAATTGAATCTAACAACTGCATTATAAATTGAAGTACAAAATTCATATTTACTTTGACATTGGATAACAATAACATCACATATTAGTAAGATATAGATAAAAAGATACATATTAAATATATATCAGTATGATAAGAAATGCTAAAAAAATCTACAAAAATTTTAATTTTTACAATTTAAGGTATAAATGAAGGGCAGTGGGCGGATGAATTTTATAAAAAGGGAAATAAGGCATATTGAAAATTCAGGTACATTGTTTATGCTCAATTTGACATGGGATACCTGCACATATTAGTAAGACATAGTTGAATTGATACACTAAGCGTAGCCCATAATTTTCTAATTGCCAAGTTAGTTCATACGATCCATGGGTCTGGCCAGAGGCTTAAAGAAATAGGTTGTCATAAGTCTTGACGGTTTAAAAAGCGTTTTAAGCAACGAAAAATTGCTATGTATGAAAGAAAAAATGCCTTTTTTTACATTTCAAAAAGGGGGGTTTCCCCTGGCTGTGAGTCAGGATAATGAAGTCTGTATTTTTGTGGTGGGAGTGGGAGCCAGTTTTTCAAATAGTTTTGAATTGAATAGAATCTTCATCTTACAGCCATGCCAAAAATATGGACTGAAGGTTATGGAGATCATCGACGGTAACCATGATTTCATCTACGGCATGAACATGCAATGACACTAGAAGAGATAATAATAAACTAATTTCTACAAATATTTCTAGTTATTACTACTATTGGATGTTGGTTGCAAGTTCAGGAATGCAGGTAAAGAAGATTGTTGTTCATTCTCTTGTTGTTGCTCGGTTTCTTCTTTCTTTAAAGCCCCACCAGTCAAAATATTCTCAACAGGCACTGCATAACAATCTGTATAAAATGTAGTGCAAGAGTTCAATACCGGGTCAAGATCTGACGTTCCGAAACAAAGCAATAAATGATTTTTGACGGCAGAGAGTGAATGTAACCCCATAGCTGGAGGCGTGGCAGCGTCATCAGAAAAATTTGGTTGAAACCACTGATTTGTGTCTAGATCATATACATGAAAGTCTTTGAAATGCGTATTGTCAATTCCACGTCCACCAAGAATGACAATTCTTCCACTAACAGCGGCGGCAGCATGAAACGAACGTGGCTCAGGAGCATAACCTAGTGTTGTCAACTCGGTCCACTCATTTGTAGCAACTGAAAACGACCAAACATCATTTTTACGTCCGACAGAGTCTCTTCCACCAAAAACGATCAACGATTGGTCCATAGTACACATAGTGTGTGCAGCTCTTGGGCTTGGAGATAGTCTATTAGTTCCACTATGCAACCAATCCCAACGCTGTGTTAAAGTATCAAATCTGTAAACATCGTTAAACCAGGTGAACATGGCGGCTTGCTGTTCTTGTTCAAACTCTTGTATTTCTTCATCTTCATAATTCTCATCGCCGTCATCTTCTGGTATATCTTCCAATTCCGTGGGAGAAGCACCCGGTCCGAACCCACCGAAATAATATACATCGGTCCCAAACACACCAGATGTTAATTTATCCCTTGGACATGGAGGTTCACCCTCAAATTTAGAAACTTTCGACCATTTTCCGCTTGTTATTTCAAAGACATACATGTCATTTAGCCAACCATGGTTCTCACTCAAACCTCCAAACAAATATAACTTATCTCCCACAGCAGATAGTGTCGCTCCTGATCGCGGTTCCGGTATTTCATTCGATACTTTAACTTCTTCCCATTTATTTGATTCTACGTCGAAACTAATAAGTTGATTTGACTCTTTATTATTCGCAGTTTGCTGTTCAGCGCCGCAAATAACTCCACCAAAAATATATAATTTATTTCTGATGCTTGCACAGCACTGCCCTTCTCTTGGTTGAAAAGGGCATTTACTGAGCTGCTTCCAATTTATTTTTATGTCGTTTTCAATCTTTTTACTTGAAGTCGGTTGCGAAGCTTCATTTCCCATTTTTGTAGACTGCTACCAAGTATATTAACGTTAACATTAACTAATAATCTACAATTAAACAACAAAAGTCGCATTAATGTATTGTGATTAACAAATTGAAACAGGGCGAATAATTTAAAGTCATCATGGGTACTAAAGAGGGCGGTCCAGAAGTGTGTGTACCAATATGGAGGGAACTAATTTTGTTCGCCCACTTTACATCAAATTGTGTAAAGGAACGGAACCCTATGGGCAGGGGGTATATTCACTTGGCTAACACAGACAGTCCCCAAAATCGAAATAGAACTAAAACAAGGAAGATAGGAATGAAATATGGCCTAACCCTAACCTGGTACACACACTACAGGAGTACCCTGAAAATAATGTAACATGTGCCAAATATTTTGGGAAATAAGTTTACAAAGGCCTTCACTAAATCAAAGTTTTTCCATTCGATACTCAGTTCGGAAACGCAATTAATTTTTCATGAAGTGTGTTTAGCATGCCTTATCCTGGCCAAAGTGGTGGGTATTCATTGTGAAGTCTTCAAGCTGCAAGACCATCAGTGTGCCAAACATTTTGGGACATAATAATTATGCCATTTCATTCACTAAATTTCAAATTTTTCTATTCAAGAAATACACATTTTACAATAGGTTTTTTAAATACTATTTTTTAGGGGAAGTTGTTATGGCTTACCCAATTCAATACATCGGGCAAAGTGGGAGTCATTGAGCTGTAAGATCGAAATATTTGAGACCATTTAGGGCACCACACCAGAAGTTGTAAAGTTCAAATGAGGCAAAGCATAAGGCAAATACAATGCGAACATTGGAAATAAGTTTAAACAAAAAAATACAGAATAATATGATATCTCTACAATCACTGGCGGAAAACAGCATTCAAAATTAATGTCCAAAATGTTAAACAGAAATTAGCATGCAGCTAAATTAGAATTGTTTTTATCAAAAAATTAGATATTTTAGAATTCTGATTTATGATTTAATAATATTGATGTCAGTCAGAATTTTCCAGCAAATATTTTTACAATGTTCCATGACTTATTTAATGACATCAAAGGAAAAATTATACTTATTTGATTTTTTTTTTTTTGAGAAGAGGGTGGGGGGAGAACGTTTCATGGGGAGAAGGGCCGTAATGCCAAATTCACTCGTCTAGAAGGTTCTGTCGCATTCGTATAATCTCCTTCATGCTCATACGACGCTTACTTTTAGCTTTGGGACTTTTTTGCTGAATACCTGATACTATTTTAGGTTTTTCAGTCGCAGGTTTTTCAATTTTGGGCGACTTTTCAGAGTCCTTTTTCACTGCTGGTTGAATGTCCATTTTATTCGTTTCGTTAATTTTCGGTTTTTTATTTTTGTTTATTTTGTTCAACTTCTGATCAGGTTTCTTTGACTTTTGCTTTTTTGGGTTGGCTTGGGGCACGTTCTTTTCTTTCTTTATGTTCTTTGGTGCTATTTTACCTTGTTTGGCCTCTATGTATTTAGTAATACTACGTTTTTTCTCTTTCACTCCAATGATTGGACGAATTAAAGCACCGGGCTTATGTTTATTTTTTTGATACTTTTTAAGCTGTTTCATTGCATCTACTTTCCGTTTTGTTCCTTTTGAATCCTGAATTTTCTTTTTTTCCTGTGGTTTTTCTGTTTCTGATTCTGTCTTTTCAGCGTTTTCAATCTCAACATCTTCCTCTCCTTCAATTTCTTCGTCTTTCACGACAGGAATTGTGTTCGAAAATTTCTTCAATTTTGCAATGTAAAAACCGTCCATATTTTGAGTATGTGGGTACACTCGTTTTGTTAATTTCAGCGAAGGATGGAATCGGAAATTACGGTAATTCACGAATCCAGCTGTTCCGAAATCGAGGCCAGTTTCAACAAGTTTTACGTTTCTCCTTTTCAAAGCGTAGTTCACCACATCCTCATTTTCCTCAACCAGAATAGAACAAGTACAATAAACAATATATCCACCTGTATCTGATTTAGCATTGCAAGAATCAATAGCCGACAAAATTAATTCTTTTTGTAAATGGGAACACCGTTTTATATCGTCTTCGTCCTTATTTGTTTTTATTGAAGGATCTTTAGATATCACACCGGTTCCACTGCATGGAGCATCCAGTAAAACCCGAGAAAAATTACCCATAATGGTAGGAAACGATCTCCCATCATAATTCGAAACGACAGAATTACTAACCCCAAGTCTGTGCAGATTTCCAACTACAGCACGTATTCTAGCAGCATTGACATCATTCGCAAACACCAGGCCAGTATTTTTCATTAATTGAGCAACGTAAGACGTTTTGCCGCCAGGGGCAGCACACATGTCAAGAATTCTTTCTCCTGGTTGAGGAGCTAATGCAATAACAGGAAGAAAGCTTGACGCTCCCTGAAGTATATAATGACCAGCTAAGTACTCCGGCGTTGCTCCAATAGGAACAGAAGAATCATAGACAACTAACCCAACCTTAGTCCAGTTACCGAGCGGATCCAAGTTCACTCCGCGGCCAATCAAAGCCTGTGCCAGGTCTCTTCTTCTTGTCTTCAGAGTATTTGTGCGAATGGTGATCGGCCGTTGTACTTCGTTTGCTTCCAAGAATTCAACTAGTTCAGATAAGGAAAACAATTCCATGAGCCTGGACATAAGGAATTCATTATAGCTGTAATATGTACATAAATCTTTACACAACACAGTGCAATACTCTTTCCTTTTTCGATTTGGATCTCTCTTGTTGGCAAAATCTGATAATATAGAAAGAATATCTTTTATTCTTTGCTGAATAACTTCCAAACCAGCAGTAGGAATGCTATCCTTTTCTATCTCTTGCCCACTTGGTAGAACAAAAGCTTCAGATTCTTGGATATTCGTTTGAATTTGATCGTCCTTGACAGCGTTGTTAATTTCCATTCTCTTTTTCTGTAGAGCTTTCGTCTTTTTTTCGACATCAAGAAGTGTTCCTGTATCATTTTCATCCTCGCTTTCTGTCCCTTCCTCTTCGCTCAGCATTTCTTCTAAAACTTTTTGTTTTATTGCAGCTTTAGCCTCGTCCTCGCTGTCCATTTGCTCGCCGTAATCATCATCCATTTCCAATTCTGAATCATCGTCACCAGAAAAGAGTTTTAATCCATCGCCGTTGTTATTCGAATAATCTTCACCAAGTTTATCGTTCTCCATATAAACATCGTTGTCCGTTATCCCATTCTCTTCTTGTCCGACTTCGTCAAGTTGCGTTGCCTTGGTTTTTTTCTGTTTTTGTTCGCGAGTTTTCATTCGTTTTTTCGCTCTACTAGTCATTCCTTTTCCTTCTTTTTGTTCATCTTTCCACACCTTTGGCATTTCGAAATCTTGTTGCCGTCTTGCTTTTTTACCAGGCCCCCTAACTCTCTGGTTTATCTCATCTTTATTTAGTCTTCCCATCGTTTTTATCTATTCCCAATAATCCCTCAAATCCTTTTTCGTTATAGATTTTTTGACCCCTTTCAAATAAAGTAGGGGGAGGATTATCAACAGTATAAATTGAAGAGTTCGGATCCGCTTGTCGCCTTGCTCCTTCGGTATAAATTGTGTAAGCAAACGCTGAAGTGAAGACAACAAGGAAGAGTATATCACCGACGGACGTTCCTGTTATTAACCGTGGTTTTGCTTTTCTAAAAGACTTTTTTCGCAATTCTTCAAATTCAGGAGAAAATTTTGATGAAGGATGATTTCCCATGAATATTAATACATCAGGTAACAATTTATGTTACATTAGAGAATATGACAATATAACTAATGATATTTATTTCATAATAAGAAAATTGAAATAGAAAAATAAAATGTTTAAAGCAATTTCTCAAAGCACTATTCATAATTCACTATTCATAATATATAAGGTCATTAATCCAAAATGGCGGAACTACAAGCACTGTTTCAAAAATACAGAAAAAATGTAAATTTTTGATTTCTCATTCCGTTTTCTGAACGTTAAGAATGTGTTTGTCATCGGCAGGGATGGCCATTTCCGAATACTAAACTATTCCGAATACATTCTAAAATAATGTTTTCGAATCTGGAATTCCGAATACATTCTAAAATCGAAAATAACACATTTTTGTTTTAGTTGATTAAAACCCAGTAAATTAGGATATGAGCTTCAATTGAAATATCAGAATCAAGCCATAAACCAACAGTATATGTACACAAAGTAATTGATAGTTCACAGCTATCAATAAAAAATAATAGCAACTTGTGACACGGTCAGTTTATTAAAATTATTCACTTTGTACAAATGACCATATAAAAAGATAGCCAAGGAGTTGTCTGACGCTTTCTATCATTGGTACCATGATATTACGATAATAGTCAAGTCTATTGACAAAAATACTACTTGTATTCAGATAATTGTGTATATTTTCTGAGAGTAATAAAAATCTATTGGCAATACAGGCAACAACAATCCAAAATCCATTATGCCTTTAGAAATTCTAATAGTTAAGCCTGAGGTATTCTACTACCTATCAGTATATTTGTATATTAATTTATGTGAACCATATTGTTATTATGTGTAACATATTGTTGTGTTTGGAATTAGAAATAAATTAGTAGAGAACAGATGACCACCACTGCCAGCGCGCAGCCAGGATTTTTGAAATCGGAAATTCCCATTGCCGCCTGTAACACCCACCGCGATTTCGCGCTCGTTAAAAGAGCCGTCTTTTCAGCGTTTAATGATCATTCTGTTACGTAAAATATTCAATCCATGACAACTACGAGATTATAAAATAACTTTATATATTAATTCAATGTGTCCAACTAACTCACGGTTGTTCTTCTTACGTCAAAAAAAAACATTACTATTAGGTCCACGGCGATCTGTGACCTAAAATTACGAGATAAACTGCCTGATGTATTTAATTTTAATACGTATTTTTGCAATCTTGCCAACTCGTTATCGCCGCTAGAAAAATCTCAAATAATTATATAAAATCCTGTTAAGTGTAGAGTATAATTCATTTCATACGATGAATATACATATAAACTTAGCAGTGAATTAAAAATACATATTCATCGCCGCGATTATGCCACCTGTTAAAAGAGTCGACTTTTACAACAAATAATATAACAACGAATATATATTTTTCTGTTGTGCAAAGTGATGAATTCGTGACCGACACGCGTATTTAAAATGTCTTGCTTTATTAATTTAATTTTCTTCAATTTGACCTGCGGTTGCGTCGACAAAATAAAATCCTCACCGCTCTTATATACCATTGCAATCCGCGGTTATAAAAATAAAAACGTGAGGTAAACTGCCCTATTAAATAGTGTTTTGATTCGTATTTTGCGAATTGGGCAAATATTTAGATCTACTTGTTAACAGTGACTCCGCTCGATCGAAATGCTGCCACTCTGATTATTTTTAGATAGAACCGTTCGAAAAATCCATAAATATGCAGTAATATCTCAGAGTAAAATTTATTTCATCACAATAAAATTGATTGAATATACTTTAGATTAATTATATTATATACATCCTCACAACCCGGGAAAAAGTCGCGTTTCAAACCTTGTATCGTGTTACCACGGAAATATTCGACGGCAATTTAAAGTAATGGATAATCAGGCAAATCACGCCCTCAATTAGTGACGATATGTTTCTAAACGCCGACCAAAATTTAGCGATTTTCACTGCCTAGAAAAGCGTTTTTTAAATTTTCGCGGGCCTCAATAAAACTTATATTGTTTACGATTTCATTCTCAGTATTTTAAATTGCCGCTTTTCAATCAAAAAGTTGCGTTGTCTTCAGAAACTCGCCGCCAATGAACGTATTTACCAGATTCACAATTCCGTGGGCGTACCAAATAAAATAAATGTTATCGTTATCGTGGAACAAATTTGTGAAAAATTTTCGTTTTGGAGAAAATAACACAATCGTAAAGGCGTTTACGGCCTAAATAACACGTTACGCTGATGAGTGATGAAAACAATCACGCGCAAGTTTCTATCGAGATATTTTCATTCAACGGAAACGTCTTGAAAGCGGCGTCGAAAATGTGTGACGTCACACAAATATCCGATATTCTTATGAACGTGAATTCCGATATTCGAATGACGAGATATTCGAATACATTCGAATACTTTATTCGAATTGGCCATCCCTGGTCATCGGACCTCTGATTATCTGCGTGGGATAATGCTGAAATTTAGTAAAACCATTCAGTTAGTTAGTTTTAAATTAGACCTGAAAGGCCATAATATTGCTTTTTTCCGCGAATGAAATATACAAAAACCCCCACCTACAGTACGACGCACTATGCAAATTCCAAGAATATCTCTTCATTTGGTTCAATGAAACAAACAAACACTGCATGTGTCTCACGAGGGGCGTCTGACACGACGGCAGATGCGTCATATCGCGCCATGCTTGCCTCGATAATAATCTAAATTAATTGCGACTGCCACATGATCAATATTGCCGTTTTTTGCTAAACACTCTCAAATGCCATGTTAGAAAATTATTTCCTCCAGTAAATCGGTCTATTCTTGCGCTTCTTTGTAGTTTTTTGCGCAACTTCATTTTATTGATATTGAGGGACAACAATGTCAAGATCTCCCCCAAAAGGAGGGGTGTTTTTTCTTCGTCAAAATGGGATTCTCTGAAACAGGACTATGTCTCTCTATCTGAAAAGTTATTTCAAAGAATGGTAATCCAGCGTTTCCCAATCTAGAGGGAATCCCATCTCAGGTAATCAACAGTAGAGGTGCCGTGGCAAGCATTATCTTTACGCTTACCACGATCTGACTACTGGCTAGACAATGCGCCACACCGCTGAGCTTTTATCTCTAATTATCAGTACCGGTACGGTACACCAATGCCAAGCGAATTCAGATATTTCTGTATTTATAGGATCATTATAGATTTAGGATACCCTAAAAGTCAGAGAAGACAGCCTAATCGAGTAATCTCGGCTGTTGGCGAATAGTCTGATACCGCTGTACCGGTACCGCACCGGTAGTGCAACTGGACCATAAGTCGTGGTAAACACTAGAGATGTACCGATGTATCGGTATCGGTATCGACAATATCGGTCATTTTCCGGTATCGGCCATGTATCGGTATCGGGTAAATTAAGGCCGATATTTCCGATATATTTATCTTTTTGATATGGTCCAGAATGTTTTAAAAAATAAGTTGGAATACTACTTTTTAATTTATTTTTTGTCTGGAGAGATCGTGAGCTATGAGCCATACATGTCCCCACCCCCACGAGAGAATAGGATTCACGTGTTTTTAGCTATTCATCAGCCAAACTAGCTCAACTAATTTGGCTATTTTTGCTGTCAAATTTTAATATTGACATTTTTAATATTACATAGTAATTATGAAGAAATATATCAACACAGCACATAACAAAAAGCAACTAGGCGCCCAGTTTCAAATCATACAGTGGAATTGGGGTCCTTATTAACGGCACATGGACTTTTGTCACGGATATAAATTCTGACTGTTTGTCGTCAAGTACGAGTGTCATTTAATCCGTCGACATCGATAAACTAAAGTCCGAAATTCAAAATATATGATAGCAATTGTAAAATATTTTATATTATAAAATAGTAAAGTAAAAAAACAATCCTCGACGGTTATAGGTAGGCCTTCTTTTTGTCGGTGCTGACTGATACTCTTTCATTTTGGCTTTGACTTATTGCGTCGACGATTACGATTAGCCACAAAATAAAATATTTGTAAAATGCTTTTAATTTGAACTTAGGACGGCGGCGCTAAAATGTGTGGGTGATATTCGATATTCTTTTAAACACGAATAACGATATTCGAAGGTCGCGATATTCATATTAAGTTCAAATTGGACATCGGGCTTATGAGTTTTCTAATTGAACACCGAGATTACTAGCGTTACTGTACAATGTATCTTAATCAGTTGAAGCAAACATTAAACATTAATTTCATATTATGTGATATATCTTTCTTTTCGATCTGAAATAATGTGTACTATGAACAACGCTCAAAGACCATTGTTTTAACCCGTCTGCCCTACACAGCACACATAATTAAGTAATAATTACATAGTATCGGTATCCTGGTATCGGAATATCGGCCTTTTTGTAGTATCGGCGTATCGGTATCGTCGTTTTTAGCTGGTATCGGATCGGTATCGGTATCGGCGACAAAAGTGGTATCGGTACATGCCTAGTAAACACTACCGGTACCGGTATGATTATGCTGACTTATCGACTTTCCTCTTCCTTCTGTCCTTTGGATGAATAAAAAAAATCCTATTCTATACTAATCTCTGAACACGAAAATATCTACCAGGTAAACGAGCACTATATATCATATTTATGAAACTATTTCTGGTGTAATGGCAAGGGAAAACGCGAACAATAATGCCGAAGCCTGGAATTGAGCGTGAAGACACCGCGCTTTGCTCAGCACGTGTGCCTGTCCACTTAGCGAATTGTTTTCAGATTGTAGAGCTAACGCGATTTTGTACGGGAAACATTTTCTTGTTCAAATCGTGGTTCACAGATGCACATTGACACGTCTTATCAACGCCGCACCTATCCTGTCGGCTGTAACATTGAGACAATAAATTGAATCTTGAATTCTTGAATCATGATGGTGAGTAATATTAAAGTAAACAAATATTAAGCAATACACACGATAAGCCTGTGAACGGCTTTCATTCGAATAAGTAAATGTTTCTTGGCTTTATTTTCGGCTGTAATTCTGCTACAATGTGTCGCAAACCAGATAAGTGATAGTCACAGTCAAGATTATTTT